GATTTTCTGGCCTCCTGCGTGCTTTATGTATGTTTATGTGTATACATTTACGCGTGCTTTTTTGGTGCAAGACAAATACGGTATACATGCACATGCATACATACATACATATATAATATCGATGTGTAAGGGCTCTCGGTTCACAGTCCCACCAGCCCTTTAGGGCGTAGGTGGTCTAGGGAGTTTCCTCTGCCAACCCCCTTCTTCCCCTTCGGGGAGGGGTTTACCCCTCCCCTTACCCCTCCCCGCTGACCTGGACGGGGCCGGTCGCGAGGTGTCAGAGCGTCCAAGATGGCCCAAGACAGCTCCAAGAGCGAACAGGCGAGAAAACACAGAACATTGATTTTACCTAGGTTTTGGAAGGATTTTGGCATCTTGGGGGGGCCCACGAGGCGACTCGAGGCACTCTGGAGGGGCGGGGCTAATAAGCACCCCCCCCTTCTTTGATAGATCTCCTCCAAGATGGCCCAAAGAGCGCCCCGAAGGCTCCCAAGAGCGCCCCAAGAGCGCCCCAAGAGGGCCCCAAGAGACCCCAAGAGGCCCCCAAGAAGCCTCCAAGACGTTGCCAAGAGACCCCCAAGAGGCCCAAAGAGAGTCCAAGATGACCCCAGACGGCTCCAAGAGCGAAAAGGCGAGAAAACAGAAAACATTGATTTTATCTAGGTTTTGGAAGGATTTTGGCCTCTTGGGGGGCCCAAGAGGCGACTCGAGGCACTCTAGAGGGGCAACGCTAATTGGGGACCCCCTCTTCTCTGATCGATCTCCTGCAAGATGGCCCCAAGAGCGCCCCGAAGGCTCCCAAGAGCGCCCCAAGAGCGCCCCGAGAGCGCCCCAAGAGGCCCCAAGGGGCGCCCAAGAGGCCTCCAAAAGGCTCCCAAGAGACCCCCAAGAGGCCCAAGAGGCTCCCAAGACGGGTCCAAGAGCGAAAAGGCGAGAAAACAAAAAACATTGATTTTACCTAGGTTTTGGAAGGATTTTGGCCTCTTGGGGGGCCCAAGAGGCGACTCGAGGCACTCTAGAGGGGCAGCGCTAATTGGGGACCCCCCCTTCTTTGATAGATCTCCTCCAAGATGGCCCCAAGAGCGCCTCGAAGGCTCCCAAGAGCGCCCCAAGAGCGCCCCAAGAGGGCCCCAAGAGGCCCCAAGAGGCCCCCAAGAGGCCTCCAAGAGGCCCCCAAGAGACCCCCAAGAGGCCACAAGAGGCTCCCCGAGATACGCAAGAGGCCCCCAGGACCGCCAAGAGGCCCCAAGGACGGCCCAAGAGGCCCCCAAGCTCGCAATTGTCCTCCTCCTCCTCCTCCTCTTTTCTTCCTCCTCCCTCCTCCCCCTCCCCCTCCTCCTCCTCCTCCTCCTCCTCCTCCTCCTTCTCCTTTTCCTCCTTCTCGTCCTCCTCGTCTCGCAGTCCTCCCTATTCCTCCTCTTGCTATTCTCCTCCTCTTCCTGGCCCCTCCTAATGTGCTCCTCCTCTTCCTCCTCCTACTCCGACGACGACGGCTCCTCCTACATCCTCCCCCTCTTGGGTATATGGCGGCTCACCCCGCCCTTTGTTCTTCTGCATGCTCCCCCGCTTCCCTCATAACCTCCACTCCCCTGGGACTCATTTCTGGACGGGCTGGTGGGGATACGCGAAGCGTCTAGAATTGAGTCGGTTAGTCTGTTTTTGTCCACGGGTCCGGTGCAAGACTCCGCGCCTCGCGTGCCCCTGCCGGCCAGCTCTGCCCGGCTTCCGGCCTGCTTCGCGGGCCCGCGTACCAAGAAAAATGTACCCCTACCGACCCATCTTGGAGCGGTCCTTGTGCGAGGCGTTGTGATCGGGGGCGGAAAAAAGGGGGTGATGACTAGGGGGGGGGTGGATTTCATGGCGTGGGCCATGAGATTTCCCCGGATGTCATGGCGCCTTTTCTTGTTTTATCACGTCCCTGGCCCCCCCGCGGGGCCGTGCACATGCCGCCGGTCATGATTTGCACCCCCTCCCTCTTGGACACCCCCCTCATGGCCGCTCCCGATGTGAGCAAGGAAGTGAAGCAGCGCAGTTGAACAGAGATAGGGAGCCTCCGCCTTGCAGCCAATCTTGGGGATATCTTGAGCGCCTTTCGGGGTCCCTATGGCCCTCTCTCGGAGCCTCCTGGAAGCCTCCTGGGAAGTTTTTGGGAACTGAATGTCCTCCTGTTTCGCTGGCTGTCAGATGCTGAGCCAGCAGAGCGAGAACCACGGCGAGACCGCCTTCGGGAAACAAGCCCATGAATGTTGCACCATGGCACGTCGTGGGGCCGTGATGAGAATCAGGAGGAGGAGGCGGAGGAGGAGGAGGAGGAGTGGAAGGAGAAGGGCGAGGAGGAGGAGGAGGAGGAGGAGGAGGAGAAGAAGGAGGCCTCGTGGTCCATGGTGGTCTCTGGGGGCGTCTTCGACGTCCTGAGAGCCTCTGGAGTGCCTTCTGATGGCCTCTTGGGGGTTTCTTGGGGGTCGTTTCGGGCCTCTTGGCCAGGCTTAAGGCGCTCCTGGCCCGTTTAGCCCAGTCGGGGCCGTTTGGGGAACTTCTATGGGCATTGCAGGGCCGTGTTGGAGGCCTATGGGCCTTCCTGAGGCCCCCTTTTGACCGTCTAGGTCAGTGATTGTTTCTTGAAGGGGTCCTGCGGGAGGGTTTTGCGGAGCCTCTTGGGTCGTGTTGGGGGCTTTCGGATGCTTTCTTGGGCAGTCCTAGGGCGCTCTTGGCCCATGTGATGCCTTCCTAGGTCGTCGAGGGAACCTCTCCGGGCCGTCTTGGAGGCCTTCTCGGGGCACTCTAGGGCCGTCTTGGAGGCATCTGGGGCTGTGCTTCGGCACTCCTGGGCCATGTTGAGGAGATCTTCCGCCCTATTGGGGCCCTCTTGGGCTGTGTTTGGGGTAATCTTGAGCTGCCAGAAGGCCATGAACTCGAGAACATGGAAATCTGTCGAAAACGTGGGGGGCATCAATAATAGTGGCCTCTTGAGGCCCTGCAAAGGCCTCTTCTGTCGTCTCGGGGCCGCTTGAAGCCATCTTGGAGCCAGATGGAGCTGTCTAGCACATCTGGAAACAGCCTTGTGCCGTCTTGACGGCGTCTGGGAGATATTTGAAGGATCATTGGGGACACCCAGAGCCGTCCGACCACCTCCCGACCACGGGTCCCTGGGTTGAAGTTGATACGGGGAGGGAACCTCTTGGGGCCCTCTTGGGGGCCTCTCGGGGGCCTCTGGGAGGCCTCTTGGAGCGCGCGCAGCGATTGGCAGGCCGCGCACCAGAGGCCAGAGGCCACTCGTGCCTGGGGTCACCCTTTTGCGTGTAGCCCTAACAGTGCCGGGGGGGGGGGGAAGGGGTCGAAACCGGGCCCTGATAAAGACCGGCCACCTCGATTTTGTCACGACGCTTGGAGCCTGGGTCGGGTTCGGTTCTCTCGCCTGCCGGTCGACGTCGATTCCCGAATCTCCAGGACACCATCCTGAGCTGTTTTTTCGGGCTGCGTGTGGTCGTGGCCACGAGGGCGTCCCAGGAGTTCTCAACGAGAGACAGGGCACGCCAGCATGATTCCTCGCCCCTTCCGCCTCCCCCGCGGTCGCAGAGGGCGGAGGAGGAGGAGGACGCGGAGAGCGGGAGGCGCGGGAGGTGGAGGCAGAGGGCAGGGGGGGAACGGGGAGAGGAGGAGACGGAGGAGCCTCCTTCCACCTGCCCCCTCCTCCGGCCCACACCCACGGCCGTCAGTAAGGGAGGGTGTTCTTCCGTCTGGCCACCCGCCGGTTTCCTGGGGCCCGACCTGGATGGGCATGCCAGGCCGAGCACGAGACAGGAGCAATCAGAATCACCCAGGAGGGAACAAAAAACACACAGACACAATTAATCGCAGATTCTCAGGAGAATATGCAAAAAATATGGGAAGTGGGGGGGAAGACAAAAAACCCAACACTCTAGGAAAATATGGGGAATCTTTCTATCTGTGTGTATTTATTTGTGTGCCCTGGGGCCCCTTCCATCATCCAGGGGTGGGGCGGCCGACGGGCAGAGCGGCCGAGGGGCGGCCGACAAGCCGGGCGCAGCCAAGAGCAGAACCGACGGGCAGCCGAGGACAAGCCCAGGCAGCCACGCTCGGCCAGGGAAGGTGTGCAGCTGGTGCGCAGAGTCGAAGATCGGGGGAGAAAAAGATACAGATACGTGTTGTCCCCCTTCGTTTTCGGCCTTTCCTGGTCCTCCTGGGGAATCCTCGTTGTCACCGCTGGATTCGCCTCGAAATTCTGGTCAGAACGCACCCCAAGAGAGGTCCAGGGACAACACGTATCCGTATCTTTCCGCCCCCCAAGAAGACCGATTTCTGACCACATCCACCTCTGGATCCTCGATGCTATGATGGGCCCTCGGGGGTGGAAGTGGGCAGTTGTTCCTTCCTCTGGAAACCGCTTTTCGCAAGGCGCCTCGGGAAGTGGGTGCGGTCAGAAATCGGTCTCCAACCGAGAGCGGCCGGGGGTCGGCCGAGCCCAGGGGTCCGCAGCTGGGCCTCGGGGAGGCCGAGCCACTGTCAGAGACTGCAGATGAACCCACTGGTGAACCAGGTTCCCAGTGTTGCGTGGCCCACAACGCAATTGGAGCATGTCTCATAACCTGGTAGCATGGTTCTCTTATTATTGGCCGTGGACTCACTCGAGGTATTCTCCTTCATCCTCTGGCGTTCACCCTCGTTCTCCATCTTCCCTCCTGCCTTCCTCCCTCCGTCCCTGATCTCTCTCCTCCTTGCGAGGAGGAGGAAGAGGAGGAGGAGGAGGAGAAGGAGGAGGAGAAGGAGGAGGGAAAGGAAGGAGTAGGAGGAGCAGGAAGAAGGAGGACGGAAGAGGAAGGAGGAGGAGGAGGAAGAAGAAGGGAGCAGGAGGAAGACGGAGGACGGAGGGAAGAGGGAGGATGTTGGGAGGGAGGGAGGGAGGGGAGGAGCGGGGGGGCGAGAGAGGGAGGGCGGAGGTGCCCCGCTGCGCCCGCCCGCGCCCCCCCCCCCCCCGCGCGAGGCGGCGGGGCCAAGGGCAGCGACGCCGAGCCGCCCTCCACGGCGGCGGCGGCGGACGGCACCGTGGCGGGCGCGCCGCACGCATTGGGCCCAGCCGCGGATGGGAGGGGGGCATCCTGGAGCCACCTCTTCTGCGAGCCTCCTCGAGCGTCCTCCTCGTCCTCCTCGAGCCACCTCCTCTGCGAGCCTGGTCCTCGTCCCTCCTCCTCCTCCTCCTCCTCCTCGAGCGTTCTCCTCCTCTTCCTCCTCCTCCTCCTCCTCCTCCTCCTCCTCCTCCTCCTCCTCCTCGTGGAGCCTTGGACATTTGCGAGGGCCTCTGGGGGACCCCTTGACGGTCTAGCGAGGAGAAGGCCGCCATGGAGCAGGTTGTTTCAGGTTTTCGCAGCGTTGTTTCTGGCACTCGGGGCCTTCCCCGGGCGCCGGAGCGTCCGAAGACGGCTCAGGATGCAGAGTTGGCAATGTGCCTCCGCGGAGGCCTCCGCGGAGTTCAGCCGTCGGGGGAAGGCCGACAAAACTTGGCATCGCTCGGACGTGTGCATTTTTCCTTCGGCGAGGACAACCGAGGAGCATCCTTGATCATTTGGCGAACAACCACGCACGATACCGAAAAAAACGCAGGGAAGGGACGTCCGAGCGATGGCGACGAAACGAAGCCTTGGCAGGAGCACAGAGCAGCGGAGGCCCGCGCGGATGTCTGGGGCCGGCGCTGGGCACACCCCCATCCGCTCCGCTCCGGAGCCTGGCCGGCCCGATCCGATTCGGTTCCGAGCTTCATTCGATCCGATTCGGCGCGACGTTCGCATCCGAGGAGGAGGAGGAGGAGGAGGAGGAGGAGAAGGGGGAGGAGGAGGAGCAGGAGGAGGAGCAGGAGGAGGAGGAGGAGGAGGAGGAGGAGGAGGAGGAGGAGGAGGAGGAGGAGGAGGAGGAGGAGGAGGGGGAGGAGGAGGAGGAGGGGTCCCTGGGTCGGAGGCGGACGGACCTCCTACCCTGACACGTCGATTCAGGAATTGGCCGTGTTCGGTTCGCGAGAGGGCGTCGCGGCCGCCATGTTTGCGGGTCCAGGTCCGTCGGTTTCGGTCCCAGGCCGTTTTCACTAAGGGGAGGTCTGCTAAAGGGAGGTTTGTCCACCGCCGATTCGGCGCGACGCTCGCATGGCGGGTATAGCCAGGACCCCAGGTAAGGGGACCCGGTTAGTGGTAGGGCCTCGGAGCCCCTAAGTTTGCCAGAGTCACGAAACCAGGTCTGCCGTAGCTCGTGTTTTCTCGGGTGACGGCAGTTCCGGTCAGTGGAACGGGGCGGGGGGGCGTCCCCCAGTACGCATCATTAGACCAGGTCCCACTAAAGCCAGTTCTGCCAACGCCCGAGCATGGCGTTGTTGTGCGTCCTGGCGCGGCCGATGCGATTCGATTCCGACTCCGTGGCGGTGCGGCCCGATCCGATTTGCATTCTGATGCTCTAGGCCTCCTGGATGGGGTCCGAGTAGATGGCGTCGGAGGATCGCTCCGCATCGCCGATGCCTCGGCGATGCGGCTCGATGTGGAGCCCAAATTCCTCCACGCCGATGGCGCCGAAGCATCGCCGACGTCGCCGATGCATCGCCAATGCATCGGCGATGTATCGGCGTTGCGGCGCGATCCTCCGACCCCATCCACTCGTACACCATCTGGGAGGCCTGCAGATCCGGCCCGACTCGCCGATCCGATGCTGGCCGCCCCTATCCCTGGCGCGCTCCGCGCGCCTCTGGCTCGGCCGCGCCTCGGCTTCGGCCCGCGCCGAGGCCGCGACCACGTGGCGCGGCGCTGTCGGGCAGCTGCGCGGACTGGGCGCCGTCAGGCACCCCTCGCGCCGCCGTGGCGGGGCCCCCCTTCTCGGAGGAGGGCTCGGTATCGCCTGACCCTTGTCCCCATCCCCGCCCTGGCCAGGGCACCTCAGCCCCACCTCCCCACCACCACAGCTGGGAGGGAGCCCCTCGAAACCCGGAGGGAACAGCAGACCACACACCCCCGCCCATCCACGGGGGCCAAGTCGGCCAGCGAGGCCCGGGCCACGCCGGCGGGGAGGAAGGAGAGGGGGGCAAGGCAGAGGGTTTGGGCCGCCCGCATCATCGAGGCGGCTCGATGTGGAGCCCGAGCTCCTCCGCGCCGGCGTCGCCGATGCACCGCCGGCGGCGCCGATGCAGCGGCGCTGCGGCGCGGTCCTCGGGCCCCATCTGCTCGGACCCCGTCCAGGAGGCCTCCAGAGGGGGCGGGCACTCGGCAGGCCCAGCAGGCCCCCCAGCCTTGCGAGAGCTTCACACAAGGACATGCTCCGCGTGTGCAGCACATGCGTGCTGCCAGCACGGCCCCTCACGGGGCCTCCGAGGCTACAAACGGCTGCGGAGTTTGTGAAGCCTTGCTGCAAACCCATCTCTCCCGCCTGTGCTGCGTCGCATGCACCATGCACCACTGGGCTCTCGGAAGTGCTGCCGCCCTCTGGGCAGGTTCGCCCCCTCCTCGCGCCCCCCACCCCACCTCGGCGCGTCGCCGACCCCCTGCTCGGAGGAGGGCCAGACGAACCGGGGGGGGGTACGACGTCTGGTGCGTGCAGCCGGTTTCGGCCCCGCCGCCGAGCACTTCAGCTCGGAGGAGGAATAAGGCACACAGACCTCCACACTTGCGCCCGCTTTCCCCTTCTCGGGCCTCCGGGGAGGCCCTCGTCGCCACCGCTGGAGTCGCCTCGAAATCCTGGTCAGAACGAACCCCGGGAGAGGTCAGGGGGGCAGCGGTATCGGTGCTTCTTAGTTTCCCCATCAATGCTCGATACGTTGTCGCCTCCTGGCGCCGGGGAGACAGCTGCGTGAGTTGCTTCATTGCCCCCCCTCTGCTGATTGTCCCCCCCCCTTCCGTCCGACCCGGCCCTCGCGCTGCCCTTGGGATGTCTTGCTCGCTGGGGGGGCATCAGGGGCAATTCGTGCGTGGGGATCGGCTGAGACATCGGGGGAGGAGGATCGAGGAGGATCGTGGTTCGGGTGCTCTCAGGTTTGAGGAGGAGGATTGAGGAGGAGGAGGATTGAGGAGGATTGAGGAGGAGGAGGAGGAGGAGGAGGAGGAGGATTGAGGAGGACCGAGGCTCGAGGTCTGAGCTCTTCGGTTGCCCTCGTCGGTCCTCGGCGGCCCTTCCCGCCTATCGGGCTGCCTTCCGGCGGCCGCGCCTCGCCCGGAGCGCTCTCCCTGGGTGCCCGGGGCGTCCCGCAGGTCGGCTGGAGCGCCGACGTGGCCCAACGGCCCGGGGCAACGATGGGTTGTCTTGTTCGGCGTTTCGGCATTGGGCGGAAGGGGGAGGGGTCTGGCGCCGCACCTCTGCTCAGTGCGACTGTTTGCAGCAGCCCGTCCTGTGGGGGAGACTCCACCTGCTGGGAGCAGGGGCCAAAAAACAGCCAAGATCCAGGGGCAGTTCCATTCGCGGGCCTAACGGGAAGTCGGGCGTGTCCCTCTACAGGAGAAACATTCAAAACAATAATCAAACAATAGTCTGGTGGCGATCTTTCGGATATGTTTTGACTATGTTTGAGCATTTGGGGGGTATTTTCTGTTGTTCGTCCAAGATCCGCCTGTAGGGGGACATGCCCGACCTAAGCCTAACGTCGATCTATCGGCGATGTATGGCCGATCCCAGCGCAATGGTGCCCCTCCTGAGCCAGTCCCGGGTCGTCCCGAGTGCCCGCTGGAGAGCCGAGTTATGGCCCAGAAACCATGCGCGGGCCTGACGCCGATCTCTCGGCGACGTATGGCTGATCCCAGCTACATGGTTCCCCTCCCGAGCCGGTCCCCCCCCCTTTGTCGCTGCCCTTCGCTGGGGGGGCCCTCGGTCCCGAGGAGGGCCGGCCGAGCTCACAGCGGCCCTGCCCCCCGGCGAGTGTCGTGTTTTTTCTGGGGTCTCCCGGGGGTCGACCACACGTAAGAGTGACCCGTCGCCGGAGGGACCCTTGGTGCGGGCTCCTCGGGCTCCCCCCGATCGCCGAGCACGATGCGATATCAGCGGCCCACGCCCTCGGGTTTGGCTCCCTCGCGCCCCCCAACAGCTGCGCACCAGAGGTCACCCTTGCCCAGGGTCACTCTTGCGTCTGGCCGAGGGGGGCAGCGGCCGGGGCCGCCTCGGGGGCCAGGGTGGGCCCCCTGGGAGGGGAGGGGCCGGCGGCGGGAGAGCCTCTGCGGCGGGTGGATCGGGCGGGCGGGGCATGGACGTGTGGTCGGCCAAGAAGAAGCGGCACCACCCCACCTACAAACCAGCCCGAGGCTTCTCCAGGGAGAGTAGGTCCGAATCGGCTGACGGCCGCGCTGTGTCGAGGCCAATTGGCCCAAATGTTCTAGGTGCCACTTAGGGCGGTTTAGGTTTCTACGGCCCTCCATGTTGCGCCACGGCTCCTCGGGGGCCGCAGTGTGTAACTCGGTGGTGGGCAGGCCTCCTACCCTGACACGTCGATCCAGGAATTGGCCGTGTTCGGTTCGCGAGAGGGCGTCGCGGCCGCCACTTTTGCGGGTCCAGGTCCGTCGGTTTCGGTCCCAGGCCGTTTTCACGAAGGGGAGGTTTACTAAAGGGAGGTTTGTCCACCGCCGAGTAATACGTACAAGCCTACGCTGGATTTCCTGGTATGCGTTGAGCCGCGTGGGGCCGCAGGTGGGGCGATGTCGTCAGTTTTCTAGTCCATGTGATGCGTTTTCATCTCAACACGCGCGCACCCTAAGGGGCGGAACGGGTCGGGCGGCGGGCGGGACCTCAACGGGCGGGCGGGCGGCGGGTCGGGCGGGCGGGACATGAAAGCATGACGCGCAATCGGAGCAGCACGCGTGTCGCCCTAACGGGCGGGCGGCGGGTCGGGCGGGCGGACCCTTACGGGCGGGCCTCGACGAGGACCACCGGGGAGCATCTTGGATCATCTTGTCAGCGTTGTTGTTTCCTCTCCAGGGTACAGTCCACCCCCGCATGATAAGAATGAGCAACCTGCCCAAGGGCACCCTTGCATCTCTGCCTCCTCGGTCCATCCTTGGCCGCTTTCGCTTGCCGCGCCCCGCTCGCAGAGTGTCGACAGGGCCTCCCAAGGCCCTTGCATCCTCACTGTGCGTCCTGATGATGCGGGTTGACTGTGACGCTCGTTACCCGGGCCAAACCCCCCCCCCGCCCCCCCCCCCCCCCCCCCGGGGTAACGCTGAAGATCGCATTGGGATGGGGTGGCCGGGACCCCCCCTCACATGTTGTGGTGCTCACAGGCGATGGATGCGCCGGTGGCGCGGACGCACCCTGGCGGGTGCACGCCGCGGCCGCCGTTACCGTTGCCTTACCGCCCGACCCACCACTCCCCTGGGTAACGATAGCGACTCTTGCCCGGGAATGGACCAAAAAAAAAAACCTAATCTTGCGAAGAACTAAACGCACGAAGCCGAAACATGCACGTGGAGTGGGCGTCCCAGCGATGGCAAGGAGAGGGTCTGGGTGGGGTGGCAGGGCCGCCGCGCTTTCTCAGCTGGCCCTCGTCCGATGTTGCTGGTGCGTGTCGGCATGAACTGACCGTACTGTCGGGGCCCTGAAGAAGGAACCCTTTTCGTTGGGGAGGGGCTCGGTGTTCCTTGATTGTTCTGCAGTTTGCCTTTTCTTTTCCTGAGGTTTTCCATGGGAAATCGAAGTTCAACGTATGGGAGAAAGGGGCCCCGTTCCTTATTTTGGGTTCCTTAGGTCAAGGCCCCGACTGTACAGTCGGACCGAGGTATAGGATCGAGGTCGGTTCGGGGAGGGTGACCTAATGTGGACGGCCGGTGCCGCCGACCCTGAACGACATCGACGACGACCGGGAGGGGGAGGAGGAGGAGAAGGAGGAGGAGGAGACGGAGGAGGAGGCGGAGATAAGGAGGAGGACGAGGAGGAGGAGGAGGAGGAGGAGGAGGAGGAGGAGAAGGAGGAAGAGGACGAGGAGGAGGAGGAGGAGGAGGCGGAGATAAAAGGAGGAGGAGGAGGAGAAGAAGGAGGACGAAGAAAAGGACCCCCCTGGGACCGCCCCCCCCTGGGGAGGAGGACCAGAGGAGGACCGGCGCGGGAGAGGGGAGGGGAGGGGGAGGAGGACCCCTAGCGACGGATGCGTATCGGACCCCCCCCCCCCCCCTGGAACTCTCCCCCACCAGGGGAGGAGGACCCGAGGAGGAGGACGGGCGCGCCAGAGAAGGACCGGCGTGGGAGAGGAGGACACCCAGAGGCGATGCGAATTTGACACCCCCCTCCCCCTGGGACCCCCCCCTTCCCGAGGGGGAAGGGACACAGGGAAAGGGCTTCCCTTTGACGTAATGAGGACGTGGATGGAATTCCCTCAAGCTGCGAACCCGTTCCCCGAACGAGGAAGGGTGCTCTCTCTCTCTCTCTCTCGCTCTCTCTCTCTCTCTCTCTTTCTCTTTCTCCCCCGACGGGAGAGGAGGATAGGAAGTAGGGGACGAAAGAAGGCTCCCCGTCGATGGGACCGGACAGACCCCACACCCGCCGACAGGGTCGGCGGATTAGTGTTTGCTGGGTGCTCTTGTGCATCCTGGGGGGGGTATACCCTTGAACACTCTGTGTGTTTTGGCCGGCGGAGGTTAACTGTGTGTGCGCGTCGGACCCGCAGGGGCCTCCTTTCAGGAGGGGGAAAACACACAGACACAATGAAAGGTCGATCCCCAGGAAAATATGTGAAAATATGGGAAGTCGGGGGAAGACAAAAACCCAGAAAGTATATGAAAATATGGGTATTTTTTTTATTTGTGTGTATTTATGTGTGTGTCCTGGGGCCCTTTCATCCTTTCTCCTCCCAGGGAGGAGGAGGACGAGTCCAAGACCAATGACTGATTACGTGCCGCGCGACACTGCGCACGACCGAGGGCAGTCATGACCGACCGTTGCCTTTTCCCCGTTTTGAGCACGCGCCGCCTGGAAGATTCGAGACCTCGTGTCCCTCCACGGCGGCAAGATGAGCTTTGAGGAGGAGGAGGGGGAAAAACACACAGACACTATTAATCGTCCACTCCCCCGAAAATATAGGAAAATATGGGAAGCGGGGGTGGGGAAGACGAAAACCCAGAAAACATGAGAACATCTAGGGATCTGTTTATTTGTGTGTATTTATTTGTGTGTCCCAGGGCCCCTTCAGAGGAGGAGGGGAAGGGCTCGCCCCCATTCGCTCTCTCTCCCCCGACGCCCCCTCCCCCCCCCCTTGAGCTTCCACGGCCGTGGCGGACCGCCCTCGAGGCCCGCGGGGCCCACCGCGTAGTTCGGGCCAGCGCCAGCAGAGAGCCCTTATGCCAGCGAGGTTCCGCGTGCGGATCATGTATGAAAAATGCAAGGATTTAGTACTAAGAACAACGATGAGTTCATGCATAGATTTAATCGTAAATGAATCATGCATTACAAATCCTATATGTTTAAAAATCCCATGTATTAAAAACTACCCTGTACACTGGCCGTTGAAAGTAGGTGTTCTTGGCGTTCTCGGGCGCCCGGGCCCCTTCCTGCTTTAGGAGTGGAGTGCTCTTCCCTCTGCCCACAGCTTCCGGGGGCGGGTGGAAGCCCAGTCTGCCTTCAGCGCCTTCCTACCTCATGCTTCGGCCCACTTCTTCTGACCGACGCGTATGCCTGCTGGCAGGCCCAGGACCGATCTGCCCCCCAGCTTCGCGCGGAGGACGGCATGTGTCTTCGTCCTGGGCGCCGTCGCGATGTTCGTGCAGTATTGGGTGCGCTCGAGACGGAAGAACATCGCGCCCCGGGAGGCTCGCTACCCAAGCCGATGTCGTTTTTCTTCGCTCGTTGATCAGCAATGTTCCTCATTCTCCCTCTCGTTCTCCACCCTTCCCCTTCTCATCCATTCCCTTTCCCCCCGCATTACCCCTCCATCCCTCCGCGCCGTCTCCTCCTTGCACTTCTCGCACCCCCTTCATCATGATCCTCCCACCTCACTCTATAGTCCTCCGCCCCCTGATTCTCCCTCTCCTGCTCCTTCTTGCTCCTGACCTCTCACGCGCATCTCCCTCTGCGGCTCGGCCGATGCGTCGATGCATGGCCAGTGCGGCGAGACGTCGCGGTCTCGTGCTGCTCGGCGGCCGGTGGCAGCAGGCGTGGGCCCGGGCAGAGATCTCGAGGGCTGGCTGAGCAGAGGCTGAGGTCATGGGAACGCTCCTGCTGGTCTCCTCCCTCCCACGTCCTCCAGTGCACGCCCCAGGCCACCCGCGGCGTTGCGAAGCTGACCGCGCTATGCGGCCTGGACGGGTGTTGTCCCCCGCCTGGACGGCGCGAAGATAAACGCGCTTCGCGCCTCGCGAAGCGAGAAGTTGAATGACCCAGAGTGCCCCCTCGGCTCGCCCAGCCCCTCCCCTTCAACCGAAGCTTCGGGGAATGTGTATATACTTGTATTCCTATATAAAAAATATATACACACGATATGTGCATACTGTATATGTATGTGTATAAACCATCCACGCATATACATGTACACAAACCTACACGCACATGCATATATATATATATATATATACACAAATACACTTATATACATATTATAGTTGTGTGTATGCTTACAAGTATACATGTATGCATGCATGCATGCATCCATACATGCATGCATACAGTGATATCTATATATGTATACGCATGCATACATACACACATACATGCATACATGCATACAGTCACGCATGCATACTTACATGGATTCATGCAGGCATACATCCATGCATACGTGCACGCATGTATACATATGTATATATAAATGTTTATAAAGCATACAAACATAGAGACATGCATACACACATACGTATAATACATATGCAGGCATGCGTGCATGCATACATGCACGCATGCACATACATATACACGTACAGGTACACATACAAACATATCTGTATACATGCATACTCGCGCGCATACATGCATGTATGGATGTATGCATTCATGCATGCATGCGCACATGCATACATCCGTGTATACATATATACAAAAATGCATACATGCTTACACGCATGCATGCATGCATGCATGCATGCATTCATACATGCAAACATACACCCGTGCACACATACGTAAACGCATGTATGCATACATACGTACATGTATGCATCCATGCATATCTCTACCCATCGACCTACATACATACATGCATGCTAATCAATACATGCAGACAGACAGACATGCAGCCGGGCAGACAGGCATTTATTTGTATACACCCATAATAAATTATGTACATAAATTTATATGTGTATATATATATATATATGTGTGAATGTATATGTATGATGTGTAGTGGCCTCCTGCCAGTGCCGCCGATGTGAGGCGCTCCCGATGGTCCTCGGGTTCGCTTGGAGGCCTGCGGGGACGTCTTGGGGCCCTCCTGAGGCAGTCGTAGGAGAAGGCCTCGCTTTGAGCCTTTTGGGTGCTTCTTGGAAGCCTTTTGTGTGTCTCAGGGCCATCCTGGCCCGTCGGGCGCCGTCGGAAGCCGTATTGGGTGCCTCGCTGTGCCGTCTGGGAGCATTCTGGGGGCGCTTCAGGGCCGTCTTGGAGGCTATCTTGGCCGTCTCGGGGGACTGTGGGGCCGTCTTGAGAGCAGTTTGGGACCGCTTTCGGAGCCTTTTGGGTTTTCATAGAGCCATCTTGGAGGCCTCTGGGGCGATCTTGGGGGCATCAGGGGCCGTCGGAAGCTGAAAAGAATAAAGCGCCCAAATCTTTCAAAAGCGTATTGAAATCAATGATTTGGACCGTTTCGGGCGTTTTGTGAAGGGCATCTTGGGCCATCTTGGGTGCGTCGTAGAAGTCTGGGAAGTTTCTGGCGGTCGTCTTGGGTTTTCTGGTCCCTTGGGTGGGCATTTGGCGGATTTTAATATGTCCCAGCCCCCCCCCCCTCCCAGAAAACGGAGCACAGGCCCCTTTCCTCGGGCAGAGCCCCCCCGCCCCCCCCCGCAGAAGAGCTGAGGCCCAGGCTGCAGGCTGTAGCTCAGGCTCTTTGACATTCGCACTCCAGACTTGCAGAGATAATTATTTATTTATATATATACACAAATATACTTACCTCTATGTACACACACTGGTCGGCGACTACAAAGGATATGGCTACGCTGGGGTGTGGTTTGCGATCGGCACCGTTAGGGCCTGGGGGGCACGACACTGTCCTCGTCGGGCCTCCTCGGGGCGCGCAAGAACTCTATCGAGGTCCCCGCGCGCCCCCCAGGGTGCCCCCCAAGATGTTCCCCAGGGTGCAAGTTGCAAACCACACCCTTTGCAAATCACACCCTCTGGAGTTGCCGAAGATCTCTAAACACACACATATATATATATACACATATACACATGTATATACGTATACACATATATGTATATGTACATACAGACATACATATACACACACTGGGCCCGCGATGCGACGACGGGCGACGGCAGCGTCAGCGGCGGCGACAGACGACGTCACGCGGCGTCACACGACGACAGATGACTCCTGTTCACGGGTGGGCCCCCGACCTCTCGGCCACTTCCCCGGGGGCTGGTTTATCATCCCGACCGATGTGTGGCGGTCCCGAGGCCCAGCAAGGGCTTCGAGAGTCAAGTCGGGCCTGTCCCTCTACAGGAGGAAGATTCAAGAGTAGTCAGAAAATAGTGCTGGGACGACTTTTTAGTATTTGTGAGCATTTTTTGTGTATTTCTTGTCTGTTTTTAATTTGCCCTTCAAAATCCGCCTGTAGGAGGACACGCCCGACCTAAGACTGGGTTCTCATCCCGGCCGATGTTTGACGGTCCCGAGGCACGGCAAGGGCTTCGAGAGGCCGGAAGCGATGAACAAAAACCCGCCGCGCCGCACATCTCTAAGCGCCAGATGTCTGGCACACCACGACCACAAGACGACGGCGTCGACGGCCGCGGCGGCGGCCCAGGAGTCGGAGACCCCCATGGCGACGGAGCAGATGCTGCGGCTGCCGCAGCCCACGCCACGGCTGCGGCAGGTGGGCACCTCCTTTGCGGTCGGCGCCCTCTGGCCCCAGGGGGATGCGGCACCGCCGTCATCAGCGTCGTCGTCGGCGGCGTCGGCGCCGACGTCAGCGGCGCTGGATGCGGATGCGGATGGTGGTGGGGAGGCGGAAGGCAGAGGAGGAGGGGAGGGGAGGAGGAAGAAGAGAAGCGGAGCAGGAGGGGGGGAAGGGGCGGACGGGGAGGAGGAGGAGGAGGAGGAGGAGGAGGAGGAGGAGGAGGAGGAGGTCCAGAATAAGCCCAGGATGCCAGGATACCTCGACGATGCTGCAGTATGCCCTCCCGTCCTCTCCTGCTCACGCGCCTGCAGCCCACGAGCCTTCTGCGCCCCCCCGGCAGAGGCGCCCCCCTGGGGAGGGCGGGCGCCCGCGGGCCCGGCGTTCGGGCGAGGGCCCCCGTCTTTGAAAGAGGGCCCCGCCTCGTCCTCCTCCCTCTCCTCCTCCTCCTCCTCCTCCTCCTCCTCCTCCTCCTCCTCGTCCTCGTCCTCGTCCTCCTCCTCCTGCGCCTCCTCCTCCTCCTCCTCCTCCTCCTCCTCCTCCTCCTCCTGCCCTCTACAGTCGGGGCGCTGAAGAGGGAACCCTTTTCGTTGGGGAGGGGCTCGGTGTTCCTTGATTGTTTCGAAGTTTGCCTCGGGTTTTCCTGAGGTTTCCAATGGGAAATCGAGGTTGAGCTTACGGGAAAGAGGGGCCTCGTTCCTTATTCAGGGTTCCTTAGGTCAACGCCTCGATTGCAGTGACGGCAGGTGCCGAGAGGCACGCAAGGATCTTTCAGATCCCTGCGGCGTCCAGCAAGAGTCCCCATGCTTAAGGAGGGGAAAAAACACACAGACACAAGTAATCGTCGATTCCCTGAAAATATGGGAAAATATGGGAAGTTGGGGGGGAAGACAGAAACCCAGACATATTTTTATTTGTGTGTATTTATTTGTGTGTCCTGCGGCCCCATGCTGAAAGCGGCATGCCCTCCATCCGCTGGGCTGCCGCGAGAGCTTGGCGAGCGAGCGTGGTTGGCCCATCGAGCTCCTTGGGCCTCGCAGGGGTCCCGGAGGCAACATGTAGGCGGTCTCGCACTCGCGCGGGAGGCCACTGCGGGCTGCGCCTTGCGCGTGCCGGCGCGAGCCTCCGCCACGCGACCTCGCGACGAAGGAGCGGCCGTGGAGCGCGCAGCGCGCAAGGGTTTCTCCTTCACAGCGCTGTGTGTCGCGGCGGCGATGCGGGGAGGTCCTGCACACGAGGACTTCTTCCTGGACTCAGCGCGTGTACAGTGAATGCGTGCTGCTGGCACGGCCCCTCACGGGGCACAGGGGCCTCGGGGGCGAAGCGGCTGCGGAGCCTGGGAAGCCTTGCTGCAAACCCGTCTCTCCCGCCTGTGCTGCTTTGTATCTGGACGCCCGAAATGGGTACGGAAAGAATGGGTACAATGCCCAACAGCAGTTCCTGTTCATCTTGAACAGGAAGGACTCGCTGTCCGCGCCGCCGCGGCCTGCCTCCATTTGAGCCAGAAGGCCGCCTGCCCAACAGCGGCCGCTGTTGGTTTGGGACAATATTTGTTGTTGGGCATTGTATCCATCTTTTCCATACACATTCCGGGCGCCCAAATTGTATGCAACGACGTACGCAACTCATTCGGGCCGATCCCCCCGCCCGCCACCAGCAGCTCGGCTGGTCTTTGCACCCCCGTGGCGCTCCGCGCGGCACCGTGGCCAGGCGCGCCGCGAAGCGCGGCCTGGCCTGGGGGGGCCGAAGGGGGCGTCGGCGACCATCGGCGTGGGCTCGGGCACTCCGCGGAAGGGTGGCGCCTTGCTCGGGTATAGCCAGGACCCCGGGTAAGGGGACCCGGTTAGTGGTAGGGCGCTGGGGCCCTTGAATTGGCCAGATTCACTAAACCAGGTCTGCCGTAGCTGGCGTTCTTCGGGTGACGGTAGTTCCGGTTGGTGGAGATGGGACGGGGGGGCGCCCCGGGTACAGATCACTAAACCAAGTTCCATTAAACCCAGTTCAGCCAACGCCCGACTTGCTGCGCCGCGCATGATTCGGGCGCGGCGCTAACAAGCTTCATGAGGATCCACACGTTGACCCCTATCGGCCTTTACAGCGGACAAGCCATCAGGGATCCACGGCGGCCCGCGGAGTCGTACCAGCCACAACTGGGGGAGTTGCGGTTGCGGCATCCCCACGGTGACGTTGCCACGAAGGCCCATGTAGCCCCATAATTGTCCAGGGTAGCCCCTTAAGAAGTCATCAGGAGGCCTCAGCGGCACCCCCCGCAGTCCCCTGCATGCGCAATGCATTGATCTTCATCGCTCATTCGGTCTCATTAGTGACCACGAGGGCCCCAAAGTCCCCAGGATCACCCCAATGCGGCCACAAATGGTCCAGTGGGCCCAAGAGAGCCCCGAGAGGGCACACGAGTGTCCCAAAAAGCTGAAAAATTGCCCCGAGCGAGTCGTCGAGGGCCTGCGGCATGACCCTCCTGTTGACCGAATCGGTCTGTCTTCAGAGAGGCTCCCTTGGCCTCTGTCTTTTTCCATCCCTCTCTCTCTCTCTCTCTCTCCCCTTCTATCTCTCAAGTTACGGGTATGCTGTCACAACTTCGTGCGCTCTATACGCGTTGGCCAGTTCTGTCGCTCGCTGTCGCTGCATCGGAGGAGGAGGAGGAGCTGGAGGAGGATACGGTCGAGGACCTAGAGGAAAATCTATCGGGAGGGGAAACAGCACGGCTAGAGCTCGCTGCCGCCGAATATGCGGCGTCGCATTTTTGCGTTCCGTCCTCATGGCTCGTTCCAATTGTAGCCCTGAGATCCAGGCGCCGCACTTCTGCTGCACATCGGGCGCGTTTGGCCGGTCTCGGCCTTGGGACTCGTGGATCGCTACAGAAGAATTGTGGTCGAGGATTTTGGCTGTGATTTTGAACGATGTTGCATTTGTTCGCGACGTCGAATCTCAGAGAGCCCCACCACCTGCTTCGTGTGCCACAGATGCCGTTTACTACGCGGCATTATCGATCTCTCTTCGGTGCAGGGACGTACAATAAGATGGTTCAGGTCAGGGCTGGACCTAAACGCTGTTTTGCTGGACTTCGGCTGTGTTTTGTTTTTCGCTCTGGCAGGGAAGGTACAGGAAAACAGGTAGAGCAAAACGAAAAACAAAACGAAAGCACAAAACGAAAAGCAACGTGTATGTCCAGCCCTGCTTCGGGCGATTGTGCTGCCATGCGGTCAAGGCGGACAACCTTGCAGGTGCTTGGCGTGGCGCCTTCCGTTGCGGCGCGTCGTGGTCGTCGAGGCGACCAGCTGGGTCGTTCACTGTTCTATTGTGTTGCATAGCTTCTTCTAGTGATTATTATGTTCTTTGGAAGAGAAATCCCTGGGAGTCTTATCCAAGGGAGGTTGTCCAGTGGGGTGGTCCGAATCCCCGCTGGGTTGTCCAAGGGGTTGTCCGGGGTAGGCCGTGTCGTAATTAATCCGCATGGGTTGTCCGGAGTGGTTTCGGTTTTTTTGTTGATTTGATCATTTTCCCGTTGAAGATAGCATTCTTTGGCATGCTTTTCTGTCATGGACACGTTCGTTGCCACAGTGGAGTGCGATCACAGCTGGGGTTGCGCCAAATTTGAACTCGTGTCTTTGCATGGTAGCGCAAATATTGGTCTCGTTTGTCCCGTCCTCTTCGGCTGCTTGCTATCCAGAAGGGCGTCGCCCCCTGCCGCTGGCCCCCTCTCTATCATCCGAGGTTGGGGGGTGAGATCGCACGGAGACCCACAACCGGGAAATCGTTTCGTTTTGTTCGTGTCGTGCGTGCGTGCGAGGCGAAGTTGCGTGGGCGCGCGAGAGGAATGAACCCGCCGTTGCTCGGGCGAAATCAAGACAAATGATTCTCCCCTGTCCGTCCGTCCGTCCGTCCGGCGGTGGCCCCCTAGCGGCGGTGTCCCGCGGTGTCCCGTGGTGTCCCGTGGTGTCCCGTGATGTCCGTCGTTGCCAGGGCGAAGTCAAGACAAATGATTCTCCCCCGTCCGTCCGTCCGTCCGGCGGTGGCCCGCGGTGTCCCGCGGTGTCCCGTGGTGTCCCGTGGTGTCCCGTGGTGTCCGTCGTTGCCAGGGCGAAGTCAAGACAAATGATTCTCCCCCGTCCGTCCGTCCGTCCGGCGGTGGCTCGTGGTGTCCCGCGTTGTCCCGTGGTGTCTTGTGGTGTCCTTTCGAGTGAGGTCGATAGTGAGATCGATGTTGAGATCGATATTGATATCGATAGTGAGATCGATGTGGTGCCCCGTGGTGTCCCAAAAAGTAGTTCGATTGTGAGATCGACAGGTGTCCCGTTGTGTCCCGTGGTGTCCGTGGTGTCCCGTTGAGTGAGATCGATAGTGAGAGCGATGTTGAGATCGATATTGAGATCGATGTGGGCCCCGAGGTGTCCCGTGGTGTCCCAAAAAGTGAGATCGATAACGAGATCGACTGGTGTCCCGTGGTGTCCCGTGGTGTATAGTGAGATCGATAGTGAGATCGATAGTGAGATCGATGCGGTGCCCCGAGGTGTCCCGTGGTGTCCCGTGGTGTCCCAAAATGTGAGATCGATAGTGAGATCGACCAGTGTCCCTTGGTGTCCGTGGTATCTTGTTGAGTGAGATCGATAGTGAGATCGACAGTGAGATCGATGAGGTGTCCCGTGGTGTCCCGTGTGCCCCCAAAAGTGAGATCGATAGGGAGATCGATAGTGAGATCGACAGGTGTCCCGTGGTGTCCCGTGGTGTCCCGTTGAGTGAGATCGATAGAGAGATCGATGTGGTGTCCCGTGGTGTCCCCTTGTGGTGTCCCGTTGAGTGAGATCGATAGTGATCGATTGAGTATGATGTTGGTTCCCCCCTCCTCCCTTCCCACAACCTCCTTATCGTCCGAAGATTGGTCGTATAGGTAATGGAATATACCAGAATCGCGTCGGTGCGTGCCAGCGCTGCCTTGGCGCATCTGGGAGCAGCATGCGGGGGCGGATAGGAATCATCAGTGCATATTGAGACGTTGGCGTTATCGAAGACGCATACAGCGAATCACCGCCGCCCCCTGCCTTTTAGAAGCGCCTGCGTGGCCGAAAGTTGGGTGTGAGCTTGGCCAAGCTATCGGGCCACGCATTCCCGAGTGGGTTTCGAAAGCCTTCGGGGAACACGGAGTCGGGCGAGCTATCGGACCAGGTGGTGTCCGAGATTTCGGGCCTTCCTGGAGGACGTCTTGGAGGTCTCTTGGGCCGTCTTGGATTGGAGGCCTCTTGCGGGCCTTTTGGGCAGTCTTAGGCCATCTGGAGCCGTCTTGGGTGCATCTTTGCTGTCTTGGAGGCCGTCTTGGCCGTCTTGGAGGCATATTGGAGGCCATCTTGGCCGTCTTTGGAGGCCATCTTCGGCGTAGTCGGGGTCACCTTGGGCCGTCGTGGGCTCTTCTTGGAGCCCTCTTGGGGGCTTCTTTGGCTGTCATAGGGGCATCTTGGAGGCCTCTTGGGACAATGTTGGGGGCCTCTTGGGCCGTCTTGGGCCGTCGGAGAGCTGATAAGAAGAAAATGCCAACATCCTTCAAAGACCTGAGGCAAATCAATGATTGTTGCCCTTTCGGGCCTTCCTGGAGGACGTCTTGGAGGGCTCTTGGGCCGTCTTGGAAGCCTCTTGCGGGCCTATAGTGCCGTCTCGAGGCCATCTTGGGCTGTCTTGGGTGCATCTTCGGGCCATCTTAGCCGTCTTGCCGGCCATCTTGGCCGTCTTGGAGGCATCTTGGAGGCAATTTTGGCCGTCTTGGAGGCTATCTTGGGCGTCTTGGGGGCCTCTTGGGCCGTCTTGGGGCTTCCTTGGGGCCCTCTTGGGGGCCTCTTGGGCTGCCATGGGGCCATCTTGGAGGCCTCTTGGACGCTATTGGGTCGATGTTGGGGGCCGCTTGGGCCGTCTTGGGTCGTCGGAGAGCTGAAAAGGAGCAAAAGCCAAAATCCTTGAACAATCAGAAATCACTGTTGGCTCCATCCTCCTGCTCTTTTTTACATTGGCCATGCGTACACTCTCGTAGGCCGCTCGGCCATGCGTACACTCTTGTAGGCCGCTCCCAGCCCCAACGACGTACCAGCGCAAAGGAAGCGGGAGGGCGGGAAAAGCGGCCCCACCCTCGACACCCAAATGGCGGCGTACATGCTGCGTGGTGCACGCTCGCGCGCGACCTGGAGCGACGAGGGGAGAGGTGAGAGTCTAACATCGCTTCACCTTCGCGAATCCGAGTTGGCTTCCCTCCTGATCCTCCTGCTCTTTTTACATTGGCCATGCGTACACTCTCGGCCAAGAGAATAGGCACAGCGGTGCCCGCCTACTTTTCGGGGCCGGAGTCATCGACGACGCCCCGCGCCAGCAGGCCTGCGGCGAGTTCATCGCCAGACGCACATGGCCTGGCAGACGCCACCGAGCGCCAGCCCCCTCGCGTCAGCATGGCTCCAACGCCCGACGCAGCAGAAACGTCAGCGGCGGCGCCTCGCCGGACGTCATGGCCAAACCAGTCCTCGGGGCTAGCGGCCCCGACAGCGCGCAAGTGACGCCGGAGCTCCGCGGTCCAAGATGCAGGGGCATGCCCACCAAGCGGGGGGCCTCGGCTGAGGAAGTCGTCCCACACCGGCAGCCACCTATGGAGACGAATGCCTTCTCCACGCGCAAAACGAGAACACGGTGCACAAATCGACTTTCTTTTTGCGACGGATCGGCCCGAAAACAAACAGGCCGCCTTGTGTCTGCACGAGGGCGCGCTTGCACTGTGCAAACAGCTCGGACGACACCCGCAACAGAAACTTGTACGCGAATGCCGCGATAACACCACCATGTACATTGCAGCGACAGCGCGTGGCGGAGCAAACGGCGCAGGAGCCGACGGTCGACCCTATGGCGGGGCAGCCAGAGCGTCCTGCACTTGGCAGTGCCCTGGCGCATACCGCGGAGGATGATATTCAGAGCGTGAATTACCTACCCCGCTTTCGCTTCCAGGCAAAACCAAGTCATACCACGCGCCTCCTCGTCAAGCGGCCTGACCAGTACAGGCCGTGGTTTGGCATCGCTTGGTATCTCTTGGAAGCGAGGGTGGTCAAAAGCGAGGTAGGTTTGTTTTGCCCCTAGATATCCTGATCCCCCTGCCACGGCACGCCAGCCACCTGGCGTGCCACAGCCCACACGCTGAGCCATCCGCGCTGCGTGGACGCGCACGCGCACACAGCCGCCACCCAGCGGACGTGCTGCACCCCGCACCCCAGCGGGGGCGCGCCGAAGATCTCGCAAGCCCACGCGATCATCTCGGGCCGAACGAAAGGGGGGGATTGGGAAAGGGGGGGTTACGAAATTTGCTGCATGCAGCTGGTTTCAGCCCCATCGAGGGGCCCATTCCTCGACACATGGCCGCCTCCGGCGCCGGGAAAATGAGCTACGTGAGCTGATTCTCAAACCCCCCTTTTGTTGTGTTCCCCTTTCGCCCGACCCGATCATCCGCAAGTGGGACGCGCATGTCCAGAGGGTGGACTGAACAGTTTTGCACAAGAAGCGATCTTTTGCACAATCGTGTCTGCAAGACTCACCACGTCCAACCTTGAGGCGCGGGCCTCCTCCAGGGCTTTCAAGACCTGGCGGGGCGGGGCCCCGTCTGGATGTCGGGCGGTGCAGCCTCTGTCTCTGCTCAGCGCCACCATCGTGTCCCAGCTGGGCCGCTGACACGACTGCCCGAGCGGCTCGACCACGCGCCAGAGCACGTTCCATGAGGTCTCCAAGCCGCCAGCCGCGGCTCACGACGACCGCACCCCGCGGGTGGACGGCGAGAGGCGACGCGCGGGCAGTGCAGCGGACCGAGCCAGAGAGCGGCCGCAGAGGACTCGGCAGTCCACGCGGCGCTGCGGGCGCCAGCCGGGGCGGCCGGAGCGTTTGGCTGGCGCCTTGTGGTCACGGCCCCGGTCCGCGCCACGGGCGCAGGGCGCCGCGGGGGCGAGCAGGTCGGCCCGACGCGGTGTAGCCTGGGCGCCATGCGGGAGGCGTCCTGGCCGTTGGGACTATCGGTGGGGCTCCATCGTCGAGCTGTCGTGCGATTTCTACCAGTGTTGATTCCAGATGGACGTGGTGTAATCTCGTGGGGTTCGGTCCATCCCGCCACCGTGCCTTCATCGTAGGTCAGAGGCCTCTTGGATGCACATGGAGATTTCTTTGCAGACCTCTCGGCAGCCTCTCGGAGGCGGTTTTGGGGGTGTCTCGTGGAGGGGTCTCCTGTGGCCTCATGGTAGTCCTCTTGTTGGGCCTCCTGGAGCATCTGGGGGGGGCCTTTGAAGCCTGATAGACTCGGGGGTAATCTTTTGGGCGGAGGGTGCAAGACGTCAGTTCAAACTCCCCCATCTTCGGGCCGTCTTGGGCCCAGGGAAGCTCCCAGGAGCCGAAAACGGTAACAACCAACTAAGAACGTGTTCGTCTGGACCTTTCTCTTGCAGCAGGGGCAGGGCAGGAGTTGCAAGGAGGAAGAGGAGAAGAATGAGGAGGATACGAGGAGGAAGAAAGACATAAGGAGGGAGGAGGACGAGGAGGAGGCCTGGGCCTTCTCTTCCTTCTCCTATTGTCCCATCCTCCTCCTCCTCCTCCTCCTCCTCCTCCTCCTCCTCCTCCTCATTATCATCAGTATCCGCATCATCGTGCTCATCAGCAGCATCATCATCAACAGCATCAGCATCATAAGAATCGTCGTCCTCATCATCAGCATCATCATGGGCATCAACAGCATCATCATCTGCATCAACATCAACATCAACATCAATAGCATCATCAGCAGCAGCATCATCCCCCCCCTCCTCGTCATCATCATGTTCAGCAGCATTAGCATTAGGGTACTCAAGTGTATTATTAGGAGTACGACATCAGCGTCTTCGTCGTCATCCATCTCATCCTCCTGATCATCCTCCTCCCCTTTCTCCTCCTGTTCCTCCTCCTCGACCTCCTCGACCTTCTCCCCCTGCTCCTCGTCGCCCTCCTCGCGCTCCTCATCGCCCAGGTCCCGCTGTCCCGCATCGCCAGCTGCAAGGGCGCGAGCCTCATCGTCGACGTCCCCGTGTCGCCAGCCGTGTGGCCGCTGCGCGCCCTCTTCTCTCGCCCTCCGGACGCGGGCCCTCCTAAAAAAATCGGCGGCGGCGTTTCCCGACGATCTCTTCAGAGGCAACCATCGGGGGGACGCGCAAGTTGCTGTTCGCACAGTGACCGAAATAAACAGCACGCAGGACAGTATAAACAGCACACAGCACGCCCCCCGATCGCCCATGGATCGCCGATGGAGGCTCCGGCAGCCGCACCCGGCCCAGGAGCGTCCAGGCTCGCCAGCGGAGCCCATGGCCGATCTGTCGGCGACGTGTCGCCGACTGCCAGGTCGACGTTCCCCCCCCCCCTTTGAGCCGATCCCCCGCTGATCGTTGCCCCTCAGCTCTCGGGGCTCTCGCTCGCCTCTGACGGGCCACGATGGGATCCACGCTGGCACCCGCGCGGCCCCGAGAAGCCCGCAGAGGCTCCAAGACGGCCTGGCGAGAGGACCCCCGAGGCAAAGTCCGTCAGAGCCCCCGATGTGCTCGCAGATTCGGTGGCGCGACCCAGGGGTGAACGCACGAACGAACGCCATATTCGCGCGTGCGCCGCGTGGGCGTGCGGGCGCGCCCGTGAGGGCGTGGCGGTGGAGGCCGTAGCCTCGATAGGAGAAGTCGAAACTCACTGGCGAGTCAAGGCACAGCCACGAGATGTCAGTTGCCGACCAGAAACCAGGCCCCCCCGGCGCATTGAGCGCACCAGAGGACCAGGCGGGCCTCCGCCGAGGGCTCACAGGGCCTCCGGCCTTCTCAGAAGCTCCCCCAGGCCTGCTCCGAAGCCCTTGGCATCGCTCGGACGTGTGCGTTTTTCCTTGGCGAGGACCATCGAGGAGCATCCGTGATCATTTGGCGAAAAAGCCACGCACGAAACCGAAAAAAACACAGGGAATGGACGTCCGAGCGATGGCCAGAGGAGGCACGCCCTCTCGCTGCCCCCCCTCGGCGCGCAGCCGACAGGAGGGCGGGTCTCGGGGTCGAGCGGGGAGGCTCGCAGGTTCGAGGTGTTCCCCAAGCAGTGCTTGCACTGAAGGGGTCCTAGCTCGACTAGACGTAAGAGTGACCTTTCGCTTGAGTGACCTTTGGTGCGGGCACGGATGGGTACCCAGGTGGCTGAAAACGAAGCAGTAGCAGCTGCTTGCGCACCCAGGTTTGGTCCCTCCGCGGCCCCCAGAAAGTCGCGCACCAAAGGTCACTCTTACCCAGGGTCTCTCTTGCGCATAGCCGACAGAGGCTGAAAGATTTGGCGGAAGTTCCCCGCCGATTCTGGTAGCAGGCTGGGTTTCCCGGGTTCCCGGTTCCGGGTTCCCGGGTGCCCGGTTATTGGTTCCGGGCCGATTTCGGTGGGTTCTGGGTGCCCGGGCTCCCAGGTTCCCGGTCGATCTCCGCAGCGAAAACCATCCTCTGATTGGGGCTTTTTCTCTGGTGTAATTGGTTTTCGGACGCATTCGCCGGTTCTCAGCGGTTTCCCAGCCCCAGGATGTTTTCCAGCGGCTGCGCCTCGCCGAGAGCGTTCCAGGGATGCCCGAGTCGAGCCGAACCGCCGCCAGAGAGCCGAGATCTGATCCGAAAGCCAGGGGCAATACAGCGGGGATAGGCTCAGGGGGGGGCGCTTCGGTCCCCAATCGCCCATTCATCGTCGATGGGGGCCTGATAGCCCACCCCACCCATGAACGTCTGGACTCGATCGCCGATCTATCGGCGATGTATCGCCGGTTCCAGCTCGATTTTCTGGTCCCCCCAATGTTGTCCCTCGTGTTTGCAGCGGGAGTTCGCGTCAAATCTCAATCCTATTCGATGTCGGCTTTGGCCAGCCCGGTCCAGCTCGAGGTCGGCCGAATGATCAATATTCGAAGGCGCCTTGGGCTCCTCAAGAGCTGTTCGGGAACAGGGAATGGGCAGATACCTCAGGGACCCGCGTATTGAAAACATACAGTGGACATTTGGGTAGGTCTTTCGAGGTGTTCGGCCTCGGGTGGCCTATTTCGGGGGGATGACCCACGGGTCCATTGTCTGCTCCACAAAAAATATAGGATCTACCTTCCCCCGTATCAGCCCCTCCCTCATCCTCGTGGAAAAAACTATGCGCGCGCAATCGTTTATCAAGAATCATCTGTGTTCAAGAATCCCTTGCAAACAAACATGGAAAAGCAACTAAATGCACACGCGTGCGTCATCGCGCGCGCATGCCAAAATCCTTCAACAACCATGGGCTTCGAAAGGAGTTCAATGTCTTATGTCCTGGAAAACGTGGTTTCACAACAAGAAGTATCAACGACAACGTGCGCCCGCGCTGTTGCTAAGTCTTAAGAAAACCATCGGCCTCTCAACATATTCATAACATGCTACCAAACGGGCCTCTCCGGCGCGCGTGTCGAAATCGTTCGAACGCCCTTGCGCGCCGCGTCGTCGCGCGCGCACGCCGGAATCCTCCCAAAACCGTGGGTTTCGCCAGGATCTCAAAATCGAGTGTCCCGAAAACATATAAAAAAACAGATGGTTTTGCACCGCCAGTTTTCAACAAAAAGCCTGCGCTCGCGCGCTTTGTGTGAATGTTTAAGGAAACCATGAGTTCTTCCACATGTTCATGTAATTCTGCCAATCGGGCCTCCCGCGCCGCATGTCGAAGTCATTCGAACGCCCTCGCGCGCGTGCTGGGGGGCACGATCCGTGTCCAATAACACCATGCGGGCCACACGCGCGTCGGCCGCGCGCGCATCGAACTCCTTCCAAGACCCTCATCACCGACTCGAGGACGCCGTCATCGTCGTCGGCGTGATCAGCATCGGCGGCGTCACAGGCTTTGCCGTCGTAGTTCCCATCGTCATCGCCACCAGCATCGCTACTATAATCCTCGTGTCCACCGTTGTCGACGTTGCCATGATACCGCGCCCGCCCAAGCCGCCGACTCGCACTGAAGCGCCCGCTGGGAAGTGCCAAGCGGTCAGCGCCATCCCAGCTGGCTGCGTCGGTCTTGCCAAGCGAGCTGGCCGCTGCAGGCGTGCGCGGGCTGGCGCGGCCGCAGATGTGCACAGATGCACCAGCCAACACCAAGCATTCATCGCAATTGCCGCCGCATGGGCGTATGCAAACCAAGTTGTGGTTGGGTGGGTAGGTGGGATGATTGCGCGAGCAGCGCAGTGACAACTCATTGTGAACAGAAATTACGTGTACCCCATCGACCTTGTAATGTATGTTGCAACCCCACCCATCGCACCCCGTAGGTTGAACCGCCTATGTTGCCGCACAACGCCGATTGCAACCACGTCGGTTGAACATTGTCACTGTCTGGGGACCGAGCGTTCGTACCATTTTATGATATCGGAGCGGGGGGAGGGAGGAGGAGGTGGTGAAGGAGGAGTAGGAAACTGGAGGAGGAGGAGGTTGAGAGGGATAAGGAACGAGTTGGGAAAAGAGGTGGTGAAGTAAGAGGACAAACAACGACGAGGACGACGACGAAGACTGAGGACAGGGGACGTGCTATGAGGGAGGGAGGATGCTGGGGGAGGGGTGACGAGGGAATGTGACGAGTGAGGGGGGCGGATCCTGGAGGAGGGGTCCATGGTTGTTTCCCTCACTTGATCTTCCTTGCATCCCTCCATTTCCCCCCTCCCTCCCTTCCGTCCTCGCGGGCTACATATGCTCGGAGTGTCTGGATCTCCTTGCGAACAGCTGCTGGGCAATCGGGACTCCACGCTGGCCATTCTGAAGGGGAGCTTCCCCCTGCTCTCCCTGTGCTTCCAGAGGGTGGGGGCCAGGTCTGCGTCCCTTGGTGGAGTCGCCCTGGTCTTTGACCCGAGATGGCGACCCCGTTGCGCCGACGCGCCAATCGGGCGCCCATGGGGAGGCCAGGCATCACGTGGAACGGTTCGCCCGAGATGCCCCGAGTCGGGAGGGGGGAAAGTCTGAAGGGGTGGGGCCTCTGCCAGCGGCCCCTCCGGGCCTTTGCCAGCCTGCGGGTTCCCGTCGCTGCGCGGGCCTGCGTGCCCAGAGCGCGTGAAGTCTGGCCGTCGTGACGGTTCCAGGCTCTTCGTTCTCCCCGTTTCCCTCGCTGCGCCTGCCCGTTCTCCCTTGCCCTCCGCCGCGATTCTCTCGCTTTCTCCATTTCCTCCTTCTGCGATCCCCCTCCTCATGATGATGTGTTTCTTCTTCCTCCTCCTCCTCCCCCTCCTCCTCCCCCTCCTCCTCCTCGTCTTGCTTATCTGGCTCGTCCTCCTTTCGCGCACACCTTGCGGCTGCCTGGGGCCGTAGGGGCTGTCGGGACTTTCTTCGGGCCCTCTCGGGGCCCTCCTGGGCCGTCTCGGGCCTCCCTTGGCCGTTCTAAGGGTCCTTCGGGACTGTCTAGGGACCCTCATGGGCTGTCCTCGGCGCATCTTCGGCCATCTGACTTGCCTCTTGGGAGCTTCTTTAGCCGTCTTGGGGTCATCTGGGAGGATCTTGGGCCGTCCTGGGCCGCCAGAGGCAGGAACAGCCGAGAATTTGGGGGTCCTCTTGCGGCCTTCGGCCTTCTTAAGGCCAACGGGGAGTCCAGGGGCCATCTTTGGCCGTCTTGAACGCTTGGGGCCTGCCTCCGGGGGCCGTCTTCGAGGCCTCTTAGTCGCGCGGTGGCGTCCCCGAGGGAATCCTGGGGCAACTTGGAGCGGCCAGGACTTCGAGGGCCCCACCCCCCCAGGTTTGTTGACACCGCGGCCACCTTGGTAGACAGCACAGAGATGCAAGGGCTGGGGAGGCAAGCACGGCGAAAATCACCACAACAGACGGCACGAACAAAAGCAACGGGCAGCACGAAGAGCACAAGACAGCAGTCACACACAAGACGGCAGTCCAACAGCAAGCCTCGCAACTTGGCCCTCCTGGCGGGGGCTGGCGGACTTTTCCGTGCACTGGTTTGGGCATACCAGCGAATGAATATGTTGGATTCGATGCGTCAGGGCCCCTCACTACCCCTGACCAGTGTGTCGCAATTCGTGAAAGTAGCTGCGTCAACGTGTATATTTACGTGTGTATACCACGATGTGTGTATACAGAGTTGTTTACATCTGCATATATATATATATATATATATATATACGCAGTTATATAGGTATATACATATTTACACATACATAGATTCACACAAACATTTATATGGGGGGGGCGAACGGTCTTGCAGCCTCCCTGGGTGCGCGGGTCAAGTGGGATTCCGTGTCCTGGATTATGGTTGTTAGTTGTTGTTGAATTCATTCTTAAACAAGAAGCCATTGTTGATCCCCACCAGGGTTCGGGGTTTGCACCCGATTTTCAATCAGGGAAGGTCTTCGTGCTCAGACTGGACCCCATGGCCCCCCTGCCACAACAACAACGGTGCCCGCTTGATATTTCTTCACAATGTATTCCGAAATCGTGTTCTCGGGCGGAACATCCTCACAATGTATGCAGGAATCGCGCTCTCGCGTGGGTTTCCTTCAATGTTGTCGGACGCCGTGACCTCGACACTCAGAAACTACCTTCCCGCAGGGATCACGCTTCACAACCCGCCTGCTCGACCTGGCCGCCTGGGCTCGCCTTGTCGACCCCCCCGCTAGGGTTTGTCCATCCGATCTGCCGATCTGCCCGTCTGGTTCTACCACGTGTTTGTTATGCCTGCTCCTAGCCCCCCATCCTGTTAATTTCTCTCGTGCTCCATACTCCATCCCCTTTCCATCCGTCCTCTCTTCCCCTGTTCTAGGGGCTGCGCTAAATGCACGTGGCAGGTAAGGAAGATATTCCCCCAAAGGGGGTACGATCGAAGACGAAGAGGGCAGGTATCGAGTGTGTGGGAAATACGTGTCGAATGGCACGTGAGCAGATAGGAGCGAACCGTATTTAAATAATTGTTGCTAGTGATGCTGTTGGTGGTGTTGGTGTTGGTGTTGTTGGTGCTGGTGGTATTGGAGTTGTTGGTGGTCTTGCTGTTGGTGGATGTCGTCGTCCTCTCACGCGACCCACCCCGCGACCCACCAGCGACCCACCTTGCAACCCACACGCTACCCACACACGACTATAAAGGAACGCCTGCGGCGTGCTCGTTGTGTAATGTGTGAAAGATGGCGCCTGCGGCGGGCTTTTTCAGAGGTTCGCACGCGGCCGACGACCCCGCCGCCCCCTCACTCTTCTCCACAATTGCGCGAGGCTGAACACGTTCTAACTTGTACACAGAGAAAGAGAGAGAGGCAGAGAGGTGGCGCTGATGAATAAGGACCTGTCGCCAAACGCCGCAAGCACGGTGGCTGATATCCCGAGGGCTAGCTGGATCGCCCCCGTTGACCCCCTGGATGGCCGCCAGAAGACGCTGGACGGAGGCCGCTGCGGCCACCGCACCGCCGACTGCCAGGGACGCTCAGAGCGTGCTCGACCTCGCCAACGCCGCCGCCGCCTTCCGAGGGCGGCGGCGACGCTGGCGACGACCTCGCCTCGCCGTCGTCGCCCGACGATGGCGACGGCGGCGACCACGGCGACGGCGGCGGCGGCGTCCTCGCCGCCGTCGCCGTCCTCCCGCCCTCCCCAGGACGGCGGCGCGGACGCACCCTGGACGAGGCTTGCCGCTCCCCGGGGCCGCGCGCGCGCGTGGCGGGGGGGGCCTTGGGCGGCCTTCTCTCGGGGGCCGCCGAGGGCCCCGTCGGCGCCCTCGCCGCAGGCTCGAGGCTGTCGAGGCTGTCGACCTGTTCGTTTGTTCTCGACGGCCTTCTGGCGTCGGAGATGCTTCCCAGCAGCTGCGCCTCGTCGAGGGCGTTCCAGGCGCGGGGAGGGGGAGGGGGAGGAAGAGTAGGCAGGAGGAGGAGGAGGAGGAGAGGAGGAGGAGGAGGAGGAGGAGGAGGAGGAGGATGAGGAGGGAGGAGGAGGAGGAGGAGGAGGAGGAGGAGGTGGGAGTGGGAGGGGGAGGAAGCGGAGGAGAAGGAGGACGAGAGGGAGGAGAGGGAGGAGGAGGTGCCTAGATCGTCCCAAGGAGATCCTCCTCCTCCACCCTCCTTCTTCTTTCTCCCCCCTCCCCCCTCCTCTCATTCTTCTCCTCCTCTTCTCCTCCTCTCCTCCTCCTCCTCCTCCTCTCCTCCTCCCGCCTCCTCCTCCTCCTCCTCCCCCTCCTCCTCCTCCTCCTTCTCCTCCTCCTCCTCCTCCTCCTCCTCCTCCACCGAGTTTTCTGCGCGCAGGCGCGTGTGTTGGTTTCGCGGTTTCGACGGCCCTCCGACGTTCTTGGTTATGCGTGTACGTAGCACCCCGCAGATGCGGATAAGAGCGATGGGGCGGTGGGGACGTCGGCAGTTGGCGATACTCTGGAGAAGCCCGCCGCAGGTGCCAAATGTTTCCAACCTCATACAACGAGCCCGCCGCAGGCGCCGATCTTTTCGTTAAACCAATGTGGGTAGGTAGCGGGTGGGCCGCAAATGGGTCGCGGGTGGGTCGCGGGTGAGTCGTTGGTCGCGGGCGGGTCGCGGGTGGGTCGCAGGGTGGGTCGCGGGTGGGTCGCGGGCATCTCCCGTTGCAATCCGCCTCCCGTTCTCGAAGGTTCCGGAGGAGGTGGAGGAGGACGAGGGCTATGGAGGAGGAGGGGAGGCTCAGGGGACAGACACGAGGGCATGGAGCAGTTGTTGACAAGGCCCGCAGCCACATCGACAGGGGGCGGAAGAATTTGATGAGGGAGGACGAGCAGGATGGATGAGGATTGAGGAGCAGGAGGAGAAGAGAGGCTGAGAGTTGAATCTGGTCTACCTTCATATTCCTCTGAATTTGCCCTTCTCTTTATATCTGAAGGGCTGCACCCCCTGTCGTTTGACCCCCAAGCTGAGTCATCTTGCGACTACATTCGAAAAGCGAGGGCCTTTCTGGGTCACTTCAGGGCATCTAGGGCTTTCTCGATTCACATTTGGGATGTATAAGGCTGGGCACTACTTGGACCACGTTGAGGCCTCTGTGGCCCAGCTTTGGACCATCTTGGAGCAGTGAAGGGCAATCCCGGGCAACCTCGGCGGCATCATGGGGCCTGTGGGGGGCCACCTTGGGGCCGTTTCTTCCACGCTTCTCCTGTCTCGCCCTGCCCGCGAAAGTTGGAGCAGTGCCCAGTTGGCCGTCACATGTGACATCGCGGCCATACAGGGGCCATCTTGGGTTGCTATGGGGAAGTCCTGGGGCGGAGTAGAAGGGTGAAGGAAATCACCAGAATGATGATGATGGTGATGGTGATGGTGATGGTGATGGTGATGATGATGATGATGGTGGTGATGATGATGATGATGATGATCAAGATGATGATGATGATGATGATGATGATGATGATGATGATGATGATGATGGTGATGGTGATGGTGATGGTGATGGTGATGGTGATGGTGATGGTGATGGTGGTGGTGGTGGTGATGATGATGATGATGGTGGTGAGGGTGATGCTGGTGATGATGATGATGCTGATGATGATGATGATGATGCTGGTGATAATGATGATGATACTGATGATGATGATGATGATGATGATGATGATGATGATGATGATGATGAAGATGAAGAGGAGGAGGAGGAGGAGGAGGAGGAGGAGGAGGAGGGTCATGGTGATGTTGCTGCTGCTGTTGCTGATGTAGATGCTAATGCTGATGGTGATGATGATTAGGATGATGGCGGTGATGATGGTGATGATGATGTTGATGGTGATGATGAGGAGGAGGAGGATGATGATGATGAGGAGGAGGATGGTGATATGAAGGAGGAGAGGAGGAGGAGGAGGAGGAGGTTGAGGAGGAGAGGAGGAGGAGGAGGAGGAGGAGGAGGACTGTATCGTACGAGAATGAGGAACAGGAGGAGGAGGAGGAGGAGGAGGAGGAGGAGGAGGAGGAGGAGGGGAAGTCTCTCGGGGCCAGCGTGCGTCAGTATTGGAGCCGCCGAGACCCTCTCAGGCCGTATTGGTCCCTCCCGGTGCCATCTTGTGCCAGCTTGCGGCGGCCCGATCCGTCCTCGATCCCTCGGGGGTGTCGATGAGGACGGTGTCTTGTGGCTCTCGTAGGAGATGTTCGTTCGTTCTCAGGGGAGTTCTCACCCCAGGGATGCTTTCCAGCGGCTGCGCCTCGTCGAGAGGTTTCCGTTGGGGCCAGCATCGTTCCGAACGGCCGCTGGAGGCCGGAGTGATGGCCCGAAAACCGCCGCTGTCTTGGTGCCGTCCTGGGTTGTACACAGGCCCTCTTGGGGATCTCAGCGGGCCCAATTGCGCCTTCGAGGACCGCAAGCGGGCCGATCTTCGACCAAGGGGCGTGGCAAGTGAAAAACACCGCAAAAGCCGCACTGCCATCCATCGTTTTATGATATCGAGGGAGGGCCCAGGACGTGTGTGGAAGCCTCCTGGAGGCCCCTTGGAATGTCTTCGGCGCTTCTCGGGCACTGCTGTGGGTGCCTCTTGAGGCAACGTTGGGCAGTCTTGGCGGCCCTGGCAGCAATCCCCGGCCGTCGTGGAATGGGCAGATCCTCGGACAGCGCCGTGGAGGCGTCGGGGCGCCCAGGGGCCCTCGGGAGGAGGGGAAACGGCGTCCCTCCCCCTCCTCCTCGTCCTCCTCCCCCTCCTCCTCCTCCTCCTCCTCCTCCTCCTCCTCCTCCTCCTGCTCCTCCTCCTGCTCCCCCTCCTCCTCCTCCTCCTCCTCCTCCTCCTCCTCCTCCTCCTGCTCCTCCTGCTCCTCCTGCTCCTCCTGCTCCTCCTCCTGCTCCTGCTTCTCCTCCTCCTCCTCCTCTACCTCCTCCACCTCCTCCCTTTCGAAACTTTGACTCCTCGCAGGCCCTGGACGGCGGCGGAGGAGCTGGGTGGGAAACCCCACCAGACAACACCTGGCATTCTACCACGACTCAACGTACCAGCCGGTCACGGTGGAGCATTCACATCTACGCCGCATGCGATGCCCGTGCGCAGCGCATGATGATGGGCCAGACCTCGGCATCTGCAACTTGGGTCGGAGAGAAGGAGGGGGAGGAAGAGGAGGAGGAGGAGGAGGAGGCAGGGAATTCCGTATCACGGGGCGAAATCCCTTCGCATATCCCTCCCAGCCCAAGCGGACTCCAGCCTCGAGGCCGCCCTTTTCCCTCGCCCGGTGGCGAGGGCGAGCCGAGGAGATGCTGGAGAAGCCGCGGCTTGGGAAATCGATCCTGGGGGACCTCGGCAGGCGATGGAGTCATGGATGCATTCGGGCCCCAGGGGACCCAACGGTGTATCCATGTGCACCGCCCCCGGGGGCTCCCAGGACTCTAGACCTCCGATGGGGTCGGAGCAGATGGGGTTGGAGAATCGCGCCGCCTCGCCGATGCATCGCCGATGCGGCTCGACGTGGAGCCCGATTCGCTTCACGTTGCCGTCACCGATGCATCGCCGACGTCGACGATGCATCGCCAGTGCATCGCTGCTGCATCGGCGATGCGTCGCCGATGCATCGGCGATGCGGCGCGATCCCCCGACCCCATTCTACTCGGGCCCCATTTGGGAGGCCTCTGAGGACATCGGTTCTCCAGGCGGTGGATGTGGATGTACGGTAGGTTCGCGTCGTGTCGACTGGCGACGACCCCGCCGCCGGCGTTCAACTTGGAACGCCGCAGGCGACCCAGGTTCGTTCGTTGTTGGACACTCTGACTTTTCGGAAGCGGCCGATCGTTGACGACCGATGTTGAACGATCCCCACGGTATAGAGACCAATGCCGAAGTCGACACGACACGAACCTGCCGTATCCCCGCCGCGCTGTCGTCGGCGCCACTATCCTCGCCGCCGCCGCCGCCGGCGTCGTCTCGGGCTGGACGAAAGGGGGGGATTGGGAAAGGGGGGGTTACGAAATTTGCTGCATGCAGCTGGTTTCGGCCTCACCGAGGGGCCCATTCCTCGATACATAGCCGCCTCCAGCGCCGGGAGGCGCCGGGAAAATCAGCTACGTGAGCTGATTCTCATACCCCCTCTTTGCTATCCCCCCCTTTCGCCCGACCCGATCGTCGGTGGAGTCGTCGGCGCTGGCGGCGGCGGCGCCGTCGGGGCCGTCGGCACAGGTCCGGCGCCGACAGGGCCGGGCCCCGGCGCTTCTCCTGCGGGGGGAGGGCCAGGCGTAGGTCGGGCCTGTCCCTCTGCAGGAGGAAAAGTCAAACATGGTCGAGAAATAGTCTGGGAACGATGTTTGAATATGTTTTGTTGAGAACGTTTCTGATCATGTTTGATCACTTTTGAATAGTCTGGGGACGGTTTTTCTAGTACTTGTTGGATCCCTTTTGAATATTGCGTTTTATTCTTCCGTCCAAAAGACGCCTGCAGGGGGGCATGCCCGACCTGAGGCCAGGCCGAAGGAGGCGGCCCGGGCGCAGGTCTCTTCGGCGGCCCGCGCCAGTCTCCTGGGTCGGCTGTCAAGGGATAGCCGGGCCGGACGAAAGGGGGGCATTGGGAAAGGGGGGGACACGAAATTTGCTGCATGCAGCTGGCTTCGGCCCCACCGAGGGGCCCATTCCTCGACACATGGCCGCCTCCGGCGCCGGGAGGCGCCGGGAAAATCCGCTGCGCGAGCTGGTTCTCAAAGCCCCCCTTTGCTATCCCCACCTTTCGCCCAGCCCGAGATAGGCTCCGGGAGGGGGGGCGGCGCATCGACCCACGCGCCCATGGATCGCCGATGGGGGGCCCGATCGCCCACTCCGCCCAAGAGTGCATGCGGACTCGCTGTCGGGTGCCTGTCGCCGATCTATCTCGGGAGGGGAAAGAAGCACACAGTCACAATTGATCGTCGATTCCGCAGAAAATATGGGGAAATCTGGGAAGTGGGGGGGAGACAAAAAGTAAGAAAATTAGGAAAGTATGGGGAATCGGGTTATTGGTGTCTATTGATTTGTGTGTCCCAGGACCTCTTCAAACATGCGGATTCGCTATCGGGTGCCTATCGCCGATCGATCGGCGATGTACAGTGGAGGCCCATGCCAAGAGACACCCTGCTTGCCTCCAGGGTGCCCTGGGCTTCTTGGGTTTCGATGGCCTTGCGATGGGCAGCGCGTCGCTCCCGCACCCGAAAGTCAATGACCGTCCTGGGGTCCCAGGGTTGGGTTCCTTGTGGAAGGTCCCCTGTGGTCGGGCCTCCACTGTGTCGCCGATTCCAGGTCGATGTTGCCCCCCTGAGCCAGCCCCCCCCCCTCCTCCTCCTCCTCTCCTCCTCCTCCTCCTCCTCCTCCTCCTCCTCCTCCTCCTCCTCCTCCTCCTCCTCCTCCTCCTCCTCCTCCTCCTCCTCCTCCTCCTCCTCCTCCTCCTCCCCCCCATCGTTCCCCCCGAGGTGGCCGGGGGGGCGCGGCCGAGAAGCCTGCCTCGTGGCGCGGCGGGGCGCGGGGCGTCGTCGCGGTGGTCGGGGCCGCGGTCGGTCGGCGGGGCGTCTAAAACAGGGCTAGGATCGGGGTAAATCGCTCCAGAGCGTTCCGGAGCGCTCTCAGAGCGTTCTGGAACGCTCTGGAGCGGCCGCGGCGCCCAACACATCCTCCAAACCCGCCGATTCTCAGAGATTTCGAGTTATCCCGATCCGATGTTGTCCTGATCTTCGCGTCGTTTTAGCGTCACCGTCGTGGTCGGCAGTGCGGTCGTGCGTGTGGTCGTCGTCGTTCGGCGGCGAGCGGGGGGGGGAAATGAGGAGGAGAAGTCCTTCTCAGGAGGCGGCGGGACTTCTCAGAAGCCCTCGCGCCTCCTGAGAAGTCTGCGTGTCTGTCTTCGGGGAAGGCCTGGAAAACTTTTCAGGAGGCCAGAAGACTCCCGAACCCTCCGAGGAGGCCTTCTTCAAGCAGTGGCAAAGCGTCCGGGCTCACAGATAGGCCCACCGAAGAATGTCCTAAGAATTGTGTGGCCTGCACGAAATTATCTTAGAACATTTCTGGCTCAGACTGTCTTGTTGAAGCACATCGGGCTTGTGTTCCAAGAGCAGTCTTTTTGTGATAAGAACACTTCAGAGTTATAAGAACACTTCGCGGTAGGCCTACAGTCAAAAACCCTAATAAGGACGCGCGACTTTGCTCAGGGTACCCTTGCGTCCTTGCTCTTCCTTGCCCTTGCGTCCTCGAGGTGTTCGTCGTCCGCCGCCCCAAACATCCCAACTTCGGCCTCCAAGGGTCTCGCGTCCTTACCGCGCGTCCTTGTTATTGTTTTTGACTGTATAGGAATGCCGGGACGGTCGGTCCCTGCTCAGCTTCGCTTCCTCGCTTCCTCGCGTCGCTCGCCGCCGAGTCGTGGTCGTTCCCCGTGGTCGTGAGGGGCCGCCACCCGGAGAGGTTCCAGCTGACCGTGGACATCATCGAAGCCGCCGGCTTGCCCCCCCTGCTCTGTTGCGACAGGGGCGCGGCGGCGCCAGGTGGGGCGGGGCGCGGCGGGGGGGGAGGAGGAGGAGGAGGAGGAGGAGGAGGAGGAGGAGGAGGAGGAGGAGGAGGAGGAGGAGGAGGAGGAGGAGGAGGAGGAGGAGAGGAAGAGGAAGAGGAAGAGGAAGAGGAAGAAGAAGAAGAGGAGGAGGAGGAGGAGGAGGAGGGGGAGGAGGAGGAGAAGAGGAGGCAGGATAATTTCATTGGCGCGATTGGACTGGGAGCGGCAAGAATTGGAACGAAGGCCGACAGGAGTTCCTGCCCATGTTGAGCAGGACTCGTGGTCGGCGTCGCCGCGAACGTTGCCCATTTGAGAGAAAAGGTCGCCTGTATAAAAGCGGCCGCTGTCGGTGTTGGGCAACGTATGTTGTTGGGCATCGTACCCATGGTGCTTCTCCCTCCTGGGCGTGCCATTGCTATCGAAATATCCACGTTGTAAGTTGCAAGTGATATGTTTGATGTGGTGCCTTGCCCTGCTTGCAGCCAGCTTGTGGCAGCACGGGGGTCGTGAAGACTAGGCCAGGGTTCTCGTCCAGTCCCGCATCGGGCCACCCCACCAAAGCAAAACCAAGTTTCTGGGCAATCGTATCCCGTAAGGCAGAACTTGCTGCAGGCACGGATTCCCGCGCATGCCTTGCAAGTTTTGAAAATCAGAAGCCCATAACGTCCTGGCTCTGATCTCTACGCCCGATCCTCCACTGCTGCTCCAGCCCCAACCCACCCATCACCTGCCATCGCTGCCGTGCGCAGCGTCATGCGGACAGGGAGGACGAGGGAAAGTGAATCGGAGGGAGGGGGGCAGAAAGGTCGGCGTTCATCTCTAAATCGTTCAGGAACAATTGCGCATGTGCTGAAGTCATAAGCTGTAGATGGCATACGTCAACCCTGTCAACAAATAACACGGGGGCCACGCCATCACGTCGAACCCTTACCATGCCGTGTGCTGCCTAAGCACATCGTGATATAGTTGGTCAAACCGCATATGACAGAGCATGTTGCTTTGCATACCGGGTATCAGGGTTCCCGTGCGATCATTTGTTTCATACCATAAGAAACAATAATCACAAGACACCATGGGTTTCCCATCATCCTTCTCAAGAAAAGCATGCAGGCCAAATGCGCGCGCATGCCAAAGTCATGCAAAAAACATCGCGCACGTGCTACACTTCATAAGCCGAATCTTACCCCCGCCTAAACCTGACACATCACACCAGCTGGGCCATACGCGCACGCCCCCTCACGTGCTAGTCGAAACCCTTCATCAACAAGATCATGTGGGCGTGACGCATGTCAAGATGCATCTCTTCGGACACATCAAGAGGAAATAGTTGCACAATGATATGCCTGTTGCTTTGCCCTCGATGGCATCATCACTCGCCCGCCCGAGTCATATCACATCACTGTGGCAGTTGGGATTCCCCAGCAGGTTCTGGCAGGTTGCTGCACTCATGGCCTCCTGAGTACTGCCAACGAGTGGGGGCGCGAGGGTGGGATGTTGACCCGGGTATTGGTGCCGACGATCTCAAGCTGTCCAAGTCGCTTGCATCCCAGATAGTGAACCACGTGGAGCGCACATCGAGAGTGCAAGCGCAAAAACAGTCTGGGGCCCCCGCGGGCAAGCACCCCTGTCTTGCAGACGCTCGCGCTGCCAGCTGATCCTGGCAGGATCTGCCCCTCCCTTCCCTCCTCCCTGGGGGGCGGCAGGACGGGCGAGGGGTGGGGCTGCGACGAAAGTCGACCCGCACAGTAAGGATGGGCAACCTTCCCAAGGGTGCCCGTGCATCCTTGACTCCTCGGCCCATCCTTCGCCACTTTCGTTGGCCGCGTCCCGCTCGAGAAGCTTCGAAGTGGGCGTCCAAGGCCCTTGCATCCTTACAGCGCTTCCTCATGACACGGGCCGGCTGCACCAGGTCCGAACTGGCCGACTCGTCAGCTTCCAGGCGTGCGCTGGGGGAGTGCGGGGCGGCGCGGTGCGGGTGAGCCGTTGCGCCGCGCGCTCCTTCCGTCCTCCTCGCCCCTCCCCCGTCGGTCACGTCAACTCCCCCGTTGCCCCCAGGTGCTCCTCCCCCCCCTTCTGGTCGGAGGACGAGCAATTGGGGGGGCGAAGATTGGGGGGGGGCGGGGCAGTGCGGGCTGCAGGAATGGGCCCGAAAATGGGCACCTTTCTCCCCACCCCATTTATTCCGTTCCGACCCCCCGCTAATTAAGGCCTCCTAGATGGGATCCGGGCAGATGGGCCATCTTCGCGCCGTATCGTCAATGCATCGGCGATGTGGCTCCATGCGGAGCCCGATTTCCTCCGCGCTGGCATGGCCGATGCAGCGCCGACGGACGTCGCTGATGCATCGCCGATGCATCGGCGATGCGGCGCGATCATCTGACCCCATCTACGTACAGTGGAGACCCACAGCGTGCCTCCAGGGTGCCCTGGGTTCCTTGGGTTTCGATGGTGTTGCTGTGGAGAGCGCGACGTCCCCACACCAAAAGTATATCTTGACGTCCTGGGGTCTCAGGGTTGGGTCTCTCATGGCAGGCTTCTTGTGGCCGGACCCCTACAGTCGGGGCCCTGAAGAAGGAACCCTTTTCGTTGGGGAGGGGCTCGGTGTTCCTTGATTGTTCTGCAGTTTGCCTTTTCTTTTCCTGAGGTTTTCCGTGGGAAATCGAAGTTCAACGTATGGGAGAAAGGGGCCCCGTTCCTTATTTAGGGTTCCTTAGGTCAACGCCCCGACTGTACTGCAGGAGGCCTCCAGCGAAGCGATGCCTAATCGAGGCGGGCACGAGACGGTCGTCGCCTCAGCCGTGGGCGGCCGCCGCTTGTGGTGGGTGGGCCGGGCAGGGCCGCCGCCCAAGCCCGCGGAGACCGGGGGCACGCAGCAGCGGCTCAGCAGCTGGACCGCCGGCTGCGAGGGCGGCGACACGGGCAGGCTCGACGACGCTGAGGCGGCGCAGATTGGGTCGTCGTCGTCATCCTTCTCCTCCTCGTCCTCCTCCTCGTCCTCCTCCTCGTCGTCCTCTTCCTCGTCGTCCTCCTCCTCCTCCTGCTCCCCCTCCTCCTCCTCCTCCACTTCGTGATCATGCTCCTGCTCGTCCTCCTCCTGCTCCTCCTCCTTCTCCTCCTCCTGCTGGCGCTGTAGGCAATGGGTCCCATGGTCGAAGCTGCCTCCTCCTCCTTCTCCTCTCTTCCTCCTCCTCCTCCTCCTCCTTCTCCTCTTGCTGTCTCCTTGTTCTGGCAGGAAGGTTCTTAGATGGAAGGGGTGGCTTTTCAGAAGCACCCCGAGGATTCCAAGAAGGTTCCAAGAAGCCTCTGGGCGTTTCCAGAAAGGCCCCTGCTGTCTAAGAAATCCCCCTGCCTTCTAGAAGGCCAACCCCGTGGCGCCACCCCCTTGCGTGCGCCGCCAACTCCTCCCCCCCATCCTCTATCGCCTGCGACCCTCATCACCTGTGACGTGGGGCCGCAGATTCGATGGTGCCGAGATAGGGTGCGGGGACGGAGAGGTTTTGGGACGGTCTGGGCATCCGCTGAGCATGCGGAAACATTCGGGGGCCTCCGAGACCCTCCGAAGATCTCCCGGGGGCCTCTGGGTCCGAGGCCTCCCCCCCTCCTCAGAATCACCCTCGCGGCTACCATCTCAGTGGTTTTGTTGGGCTCGGGGTACAGGAGGGCGTACAGTGCCGTTTTTTATACACGCTCCGCGTGCGGTTCACGTATTGAAAATGCAGGGATTTAGTACTAAAAACAACGATGAGTTCATGCATACATTTATTCATAAGTTGATCATGTATTAAAAATCTTATATGGTTTAAAATCCCATGTATTGAAAATTGCCCTGTAGACACCTTGCCGCGGCCCAGGACTGCCCCGTCGGTCTGCGGAGGCCCTCCGCGGAGGCCCTCCGGAGGGCCTCGTACGGGTGCCGCAGCGCCCCGTGGGCGTCGCCCGTGCCACTCGGGGGCAACGGCTGCCAGTGGCCCACTGGGGCAGCAGTCTATGCCCCGGTTGGGTGGGCTATACCCCGGTTGGACGGGCTATACCCTGGTTGACCGGGGGACACCCCTCTCGAGGCTGGACAGACCTCCTACCCTGACACGTCGATTAGTGAATTGGCTGTTTTCGGTTCGCGGGAGGGCGTCGCGGCCGTCATTTTTGCGGGTCCAGGTCCGTCGGTTTCGGTCCCAGGCCGTTTTCATTAAGGGGAGGTCTACTAAAGGGAGGGTTGTCCAGCGCCGACACTCTGGAGTGTAAGTGTCGGAAGGCCTTCCACATTTGATGTCGATTGAAGGCCATCTCTAGAACGTCTGCAGTGCCAATGGTGTGCCCTGAAGGGGTCCACATGGCTTCCAGGGGATAAAAACAACCAGGGGATAAGCCACCTGCAGTCATGATATTCTGAGCGGGCAGCTCCTATGTGAACCGTATACCCTTGTATCTGAGTAATTAGACGATGTGAGTTGCTTACGGTTCCTAAGTGAAACGTGTGCGAACCCTATGCGAATCGTATACGGTTCAGATGTGAATCGCATCGGAGCCCGATGCGAAAATTATGCAGCCCAGATGTGACTCGTATACGGCTCCAATGAATCAATCGTATATGATTTCAATAAATCGTAGACGACTGTCATGTGAAACGTAAACGAATGCGGTGGGAATCGTAGACGGATCCGATGTGAATCGTTCATGTATCCAATGTGAATCCTACAAAGATGCATGCAAGTCGTATACAAATCCCACGAGTATCGTGCACAATGTCTCTGTAGATCGTATGTAATCGACCCCGATGTGTATCCTATACGATTCCGACGTGGGTCGTATACGACTCCTATGTGAATCGCAAACTGTTCCTATGTCAATCGTATACGGTTCCTGCGTGAATCATAGACGAGTCCTACGTGTGTCGTACACGGTTCGTACGTGAATACTACGCCTTGGGGACTTGTCTACGGTTCCCATGTGAATCACATGTGGTTCCTATGCTAATCGTATACGATCCCAATGCGAAGCATTAACGATTACATTGTTTGTCAATTGTATACGACACCAAGATGCATTGTATAAGCCTGTGTGAACCGCATACGATTCCAATGTGAATCGTAGACGACTCCGATGTGACACGCGCACGCGTGCTTGTTTTTATGTGAAGCGTATATTGTTCCAGTGTGAATCGTATACAGGCCCTGTGTGTATCGTATACGGTGCCTATGTGAATCGCATATTATCCCCATGTGAATCGGATACGAACCGTGCGTGAATCGTATACGATTCCTATGTGGGCCGTTTACGACTCTCGATGTCCGATACCTACGGGGAAACGGACATAGAGAGCGAAGGGGTGTTGACGGCCACGGCGAATTTCGGCCACCTTGGGATTTGGGGTTTGGTGTTTTGGTGTTGGGGTTTAGCGTTTGGGGTTTGCTGCTTGGTGTGTGGTGCTTTGGGTGTGGTGTTTGGTGGTGTGTTGGTGCTTCGTGTGTGGGTTGGTGGTTGGGCGGCTTGGTAGGCTTCAGCCAGGGTATAGCCCAACTTTGCCGGGGTATAGCCCGTTCAACCGGAGTGTAGCCCGTCCAATTGGGGTATATCGGAGGTGGACAGACCTCCTACCCTGACACGTCGATTAAGGAATTGGCCGTTTTCGGTTCGCGAGAGGGCGTCCCGGCCGTCATTTCTGCGGGTCCAGGTCCTTCGATTTCGGCCCTAGGTTGTTTTCACTAAGGGGAGGTTGACTAAAGGGAGGTTTGTCCACCGCAGAGTATAGAATTCGACAGGAGAGAGGGCCGCGCGCACGACAGCCGGCGGGGAGCCAGAGCTTTCGAGGGCCCGGGGGCCGCGCGGGGCCCGTGCTTCTGGTCGGGCCAGGCCCGCGCGGCCCCCGGGCGGGGGTGGAGGTTTGGGTTGGGTGTGGGTGCAGGATGCTGCAGGGTCCTGCAGGATCCTGCAAGGCCCGACTGAGCCGGGTCTGGATTGACCCGGGTCAGCAGATCCCCGACATGGCCCGCTCCCGTGGCCCTCCTCCTGTGCGCAGTGCTCGTGGTCCTCCTCCCTCGGTGGAGGGCGGCGGCGAGACGGACGGCGAGAGCTGGAGCGCGAGGGGGAGGCACAGGAGGACGAGGACCAGGGGGAGGAGGGGGGGGGAGGGGAACGAGGGGGGTTGGGAGGGCCCCCCCCTCCCTCCCTTTCCCGCCTTCCCTCCTCCTGCTCCCGTTCCTCGTTCTCTCTTTTTATTTCTCTTCCTCCTGCTCATCCTCTTCCTCCTCCTCATCCTCCTCCTCATCCTCCTTATCTTCATCCTCATCTTCATCCTCATCTTAATCCCTCTCGCCTCTCCTCATGCTCCTCCTCCGGACTTGTTCCTCCCCTCCTCTTCCTCTCCGCCTCTCTCCCTGCGGCCCTCTTCGCCGTTGGCGTGGAGTCGCAGTTTGAGGAGCTCTTTGCGCTCGCCAGCTTAGCCGCGCAGCTCTGTCCACAGCATGCCGACTGTTCGGTCAATCCTCCTCGCGCTCATCCTCGTCACCTTCTTTCCTCGTCAACATCCTGTCTTCCTCCTCCCCCTCCATCTCCCTCCTCCCCGGTCCCGCCCCCCCCCCCCCCCGCACCTCTCTCCCTCGTCCCAGACCGTCATCTGGAGCCGCCAGATTCTGGGGGATTCGGATTGGGGTCAGATTCTGGAGGCACTGGGGGCAACATTTGGCGGGTTCCGAGCCCCCTCCTCGCAATCACCCTTTCCATCGTCCTCTCCTTCTCTTCTTTGCTCCTCCTCATCATCCTCCTCCCCGTCATCATCATCATCATCATCATCATCATCATCATCATCATCATCATCATCATCATCATCATCATCATCATCATCATCATCATCATCATCATCTCCGTCCGAGTCAAGCTCCTCTTCGTCCTCGCCCTTCTCCCTGCTCGTCCTCCCATCCCGCGGCGAGCGCAGCTGCGTCCGGCCACGAGCGGGGCGGGCCGACGTCGTCTTATCGGCTGCAGTTGAGCCGAGCCGTGGACAGGCCGCGCCCTCCCTCGCCGCCCTCCCTCGCTCCTGGCTTCTGCGCTACCCCGGCTCCAGCCGCATCCTTCCAGGAGGGCACAATACACACAGACACAATTGATCGTCGATTCCCCAGAAAAAAGGGGAAACTATGGGGAGTGGGGGGGAAGACAAAAACCCAAAAAATATGGGAAAATATCGGGAGATATTTCTATTTGTGTGTATTTATTTGTGTGTCCTGGGGCACCTTCATCCTTGCCAGCGAGGGCGGCACAGGGGGGAACGCAGAATTGACTGAGGGCCCGCAGGGCCCAGGGGGCCCCCAGGGGGGCTCCAGAGCGGAGCGCGGAAAGCTGGGGGGGGCACCCTGGGCCAGGGGCACCTGCAGCAACCCCCGATCCTTTAGCATTGGAAGAAGAAGAAGACGAAGAAGAAGACGAGCCATAAGCATAAATTGCTGGCGAAGAAGAACTAGAAGACGAATAACTAGAAGACGAAGAAGAAGACGAGCCATAAACATAAACTGCTGGCGAAGAAGAACTAGAAGAAGAATAACTAGAAGACGAAGAAGAAGACGAGCCATAAACATAAATTGGTGGCGCTCCGCGCGGCTTTCTTGGATCCGCGCTGGGCCCCCCGGCGGCGCCTCCGGCGCCGCCCCTGGCGCTCTCCGCGCGCCAGGGATGGGGGTCCAGCGAGGATCTGAGAGATCCGCGCGGACCTCCGAGCTTTTGTGTTTGTGCCAGTCTTCGTTCCCTTGTGGCAAGCCCTCCCTCGTTTTTTTCTACGTTGCCCTGGCTCCAGTTGCATCGCCAATGTTGCATCAGTTTTCCGCTCCTTCAGAAGGCTATTTCATCGCACATCCCCTCTGCAGTCAGCCTGCATAGTAAGGATGGGAAACCGTCCCAAGGGTACCCTTGCATCCTTGCCCCTTCGGCCCATCCTCAGCGACGTTCGCTGGCCAACCTCGTCCGACAAGCGTTAACATGGCTCTCCAAGGCCTTTGCATCCTTACCGCGCGTCCTCATGATCCGGGTCGACTGTGCATCGACAAATTGTTGCATCAGTCCTCCGTTCTTTGCTCAGGCTATGTCATCGCACATCCCCCTGCTACCCCTTTTACCGCATCCAGCCCAAACAAACCTGGCCTATTGTGTTGGACGCACCAGGTGGTGCAGCATGTTGCCCATGTACCCCTGGCCACTTCCCGCGTGCCCTACGGTTGGACACCTGCCACACGTGCAGGCCACGGCGCAGCATGTGTGCGCCCGGGTGCCCCCCCCGGGGTTCTAGCACGAAGAGCCGCGCACGTCGTCGGATGCCTCGGGCAGGGAGCGCCACGCTGGCCAAGCTCGCTGCTCGGTGCCCCCGTTTGGCTCTCTGACGCTGGTGCGGCCAAGTCTGCTTCGCCGCCGACGAAGAACGGGCAGGAGGGAAAAAAACACACAGACACAATTAATCGTCGATTCCCCAGAAAATATGAGAAAATACTGTGATTGGGGGGGAGACAGGAGCCCAGAAAATACAGGAAAATATGGGGCATCCTGTTATTTGTGTATATTTATTTGTGTGTGTCCCAGGGCCCCTTCAAATAGGCAGGGAGGGCCGTGGCGTACACCCGAAACAGGTGGCACCCGTGGCCCGGCTCGTCCGTGAGGGCGCGGAGCCTTGGGGGGGAGGATTGGGGGAGGGAGGGCCAGGGCGGAGCCAGGGATGGCGGGGGAAGGGCCGGGGGAAGGACGAAAGAGCGAGCCACGAAGTTAAAGGGCTCGGATCGGGGGTGGACAGAACCCCCAACAGTGACACTTCGATTAGTGAATTGTCCGTTTTCGGTTTTCGAGAGGGCGCCGTGGCCGTTATTTTCCAGGCTTGCGCCCGCCAGGTCTGGGCCTCAGGTCGTTTTCACTAAACCACGTTTTACTAAAGGGAGATCTGTCCATCCCCGATCGGAGTTCTAGGGCACGGCTTTGCAAGAGAGTTCAAGTAAAGAGCTGGTGAACCCAACCGTGCGATGCCTTGACTGTTTCAATACAGGGTCCAGGGCAGGTGTTTCATCCCGAGCCGTTTTGTTCATTGTCCCGGGGGCACAGCGAGAGCAGCAACGAATTTCCGTCGTGATTTCGTTGTGTGTCGCAATTCGGGGATGTCAGGGCAGTTGTTCTAGGCCTTTCAGATGGGGTCGGAGTAGATGGGGTCGCAGGATCGCGCCGCATCCCCCATCGTGGAGAAAATCAGGTTCCACATCGAGCCGCATCGCTGGTGCCTCGGCGATGCGGCGCGATCATCCGATCCCATCTACTCGGACCCCACCTGGGAGGCCCCTCGTTGCGCAAGGGAATGGCCACAAAGACATGGGTACGGTAGGTTCGCGTCGTGTCGACCGGCGGCGACCTCGCCAGCGGCGTTCAACGCTGAACGCCGCGGGCGAGCCAGAGTCGTTGGGTGTGGAACGATTTGGACGTTTCGGAAACGACCGATCGTTCAAGATGGAACGATCCCCGCGGTGTCAGAAACCGACGCCGGGGTCGACACGACGCGAGCTTGCCGGAAGGTGTCGGGTAACCCAGGACCCCGGGTGAGGGGACCCGGTTAGTGGCAGGGCCCCGGAGCCTTGAATTGGCCAGAATCACCAAACCAGGTTTGCCATAGTAGTGTCGAAACAGTGTCTCCCAGGGCCCGGCACGTGCAAACCCTTGAGCTTCGGTACTTCCTTGGGCGCTCGAAACTCTTCCTGGTGAGCAAGGCTAAAGTCGGTTGGAGAATAATTAACGCCGGGGTCGACACGACGCAAGCTTGCCGGAAGGGGGGCGCCCCCGGTACAGATTACTGAGCCAGGTTCTACGAAACCCAGTTTTGCCAATGCCCGAAGGGGGGAGGGCACAGCGATCCCCCCCCCGCGCTCACGGCGCCAGGCCACCGGGAGCACTCGCGGGGAGGGCGAGGGCGGCTCGTGCCTGGAGGCGCCGAGCCCCGGTCCGTCCGCCTCGTCTTCGGCACAAATCGCTCGGGCGCGTGCGCGTGCTGCTCGGGGAGGGTCTTTCAAGCAGTGGCGAGGCGTCCTGGCTCGCCTATAGCCCTACCGAACAGTGTTCTAAGAAGAACCTTTGTGTGGTTTCCACGAAATGTTCTTAGAACCTTTCTGGCTGGGACTGTCTTGGTCTAACATATCGGGCTCAGACTTTTTAATCACGAAAACAATGTTCTAGGAAGAGTGTGTTTGTTATTAAAACCTTTTTGGGCTCTAAGAACATGTCGTGGTAGGCCTACAGGAATGCCAGGACGGTCGGTCCCTGCTCAAGTCATCGACGAGTTTTTGTGTCAAGGGAGGGAAAACCACCCCGACCCGACAATTGGCGTCTACTAAGCGGCCCTGGGCGTTTACTAAACAGCCCTGCCATGTTCGATCCTTTCCCTGGGCGCGTTTACTAAACGGCGTCGCGTGTCGAGGTGATAGTTTGATCGCTTCACTCATTCCGCCAGTCCATTTCGCATCACTGTGGCTGCGTGGTGGTGTTCTCGTGCCCAGGGGGAGGGCAGTACGATCTTCGAGGAGATCTTCGGATATGTGGCTCGCACCCTGATAAAGGGAGCCGTTAGACTGCCCCAGAGGGTGCCAAGATAACTCAAGAGAGCTCTAATTAGAAGAGTTTGGAGACGTACCTGGGTTGTGGGTCAAAGTCCTCATGGATGCTTCTTGGGGTCTCTTCGGAGGGAGCCTCTGGGGAGCCTCCCTCTTGGGGCTCTCCTGGGGCCGTATTGGGGCGATGTGTGGGGCCTCTTGGGCCGTCCTTGAGCGCCGGGAAGCCGAACAGTTGAGAACGGCAAAATCCTTCAAAAACCAAAGGGGAATCTATGGTTTTGCCCCCCGGAGCCCTCTTGAGACGCTTCTTCGAAGCCTCTTTGGGCGTCTTGGGAGCCTCTTGGGTCCGAGGGCTCGAAATGTTTGTTCAGGTTCCCCGTCTTGCCCCCTCTTGGGGCCGTGCTGGGGATGTCCTGGGCCGGCTTGGAGGCCTCTTGGGCCGGCTTGGGGCCCTCTTGGGCCCTCTTGGGGCTCTCTTGGAGGCCTCTTGGGTCGTCTTGGGACGATGTGTGGGTCTTCTCGGGCCGTCTTGGAGCGTCGGGAAGCCGAACAGATGAGAATGGCAAAATCCCTCAATAGCTTAAGGGAGATCTATGGTTGTTGCCTCCTGGAGCCCTCTTGAAGACACTTCTTCGAAGCATATTTGGGCGTCTTGGGAGCCTCTTGGGTCCAAGGGCTCGAAATGTTCGTTCGGGTTCCCCGTCGGGCCCCCTCTTGGGGCCGTCCTGAGGATATCTTGGGCCGTCTTGGAGGCCGTCTTGGGGCCCTCTTGGGCCGTCTTGGGGCTCTCTTGGAGGCCTCTTGGGTCGCCTTGGGGCGATATGTGGGGCTTCTTGGGCCGTCTTGGAGCGTCGGGAAGCCGAACAGTTGAGAACGGCAACATCCTTCAATATCCAAAGGGAGATCTATGGTTTTTGCCTCCTGGAGCCCTCTTGAGACGCTTCTTCGAAGCATCTTTGGGCGTCTTGGGAGCCTCTTGGGTCCGAGGGCTCGAAATGTTCGTTCGGGTTCCCCGTCGGGCCCCCTCTTGGGGCCGTCCTGGGGATATCCTGGGCCAGCTTGGAGGCCTCTTGGGCCGGCTTGGGGCCCTCTTGGGCCTTTTTGGGGCTCTCTTGGAGGCCTCTTGGGTCGTCTTGGGGCGATACGTGGGGCCTCTTGGGCCGTCTTGGAGCGTCGGGAAGCCGAACAGATGAGAACGGCAAAATCCTTCAAAAAACAAAGGGAAATCTATGGCGTTTGCCTCCTGGAGCCCTCTTGAAGACGCCTCTTTCGGCGTCTTGGGAGCCTCTTGGGTCTGAGGGCTCGAAATGTTCGCTCGGGTTCCCCGTCTGGCCCCCTCTTGGGGCCGTCCTGGAGAGATCTTGGGTCGTCTTGGAGGCCTCCTTGGTCGTCTTGGGGCCCTCTTGGGCCCTCTTGGGACTCTTGGAGGCCTCTTGGGTCGTCTTGGGGCGATGTGTGTTTCTTCTCGGGCCGTCTTGGAGCGTCGGGAAGCCGAACAGATGAGAACGGCAAAGTCCCTCAATAACCAAAGGGAGATCTATGGTTTTTGCCTCTGGAGCCCTCTTGAAGACGCTTCTTCGAAGCATCTTTGGGCGTCTTGGGAGCCTCTTGGGTCCGAGGGCTCGAAATGCTCGCTCGGATTCCCCGTCTGGCCCCCTCTTGGGGCCGTCCTGGGGAGATCTTGGGGCCGTCTTGGAGGCCTCTTGGGTCGTCTTGGGGCCCTCTTGGGCCGTCTTGGGGCTCTCTTGGAGGCCTTTTGGGTCGTCTTGGGGCGATACGTGGGGCCTCTTGGGCCGTCTCGGAGCGTCGGGAAGCCAAACAGATGAGAACTGCAAAATCCTACAATAACCAAAGGGAAATCTATGGTTTTGGCCTCCTGGAGCCATCTTGAGACGCTTCTTCGAGGCCTCTTTGGGCGTCTTGAGAGCGTCTGCCGCCGTTTGGATGCTATCTTGGGCGTCTTGGACCGATCGGTCGGCGACTCGGAACTCTCTTGGGACTCTTGGGGCCCTCTAAGAGCGCTCGGGGGCGCCGAAAGCCGCGCCCAGAGGGAAAACCCATCTCTGGGTAGTGCCGTGAGGGGTACTTTTCGCTCAGGGACCCCCATGGGCCGCCCCGAGCGCGCGAACTTAGCAACCGGAGATCTTAGTACGCCTCTGGCCCGTGGGCCGGCGAATTATGGTGGATTTTCTGCCCTCTATTTTTTGGGGCGGATTTTCTGTCCTCTATTTTTGCTCGGCGAAGGTCATCGAAGAACTTTGTGGGCTTCGGAAAAATACGCGCACGAAGCCGAAAAATGCACGGGGAGTGGACGTCCGAGCGATGGCGAGTCCTCCGCCTCCTCGGATCCGAGGCCCAGCGCGCATCGGCAGAACCTTACAGTCGCTTGGCATCGCTCGGACGTGTGCATTTTTCCTTCGGCGAGGACCATCGAGGAGCATCCTTGATCATTTGGCGACAAAACCACGCACGAAACCGAAAAAAACACAGGAAATGGACGTCCGAGCGATGGCCAGGTCGAGGCATCCGCCACACCAGAAAGAGCAGGTGCACCTGAGGCTCTCGTGTGTGTGTGTGTGTGACCGTCTGGAGGCCGTGCTGGGCGTCTCGGGGCGATCTTCGGGCGACTCGGGCCCCCCTTTGGGGCCCTCATTAGGAGGCCCCCATGGGGCCCTCCTGGCCACTCGTTGGGCCCTCCCGCAAATCTCAGGAGGGAGCGAAACACACAGACACAATTCATCGGCGACTCCCCCGGAAAATATGGGAAAATATGGGAAGTGGAGGGGAAGACAAGATCCCAGAAAACATGGGAAAATGTAGGGATTTGTTTTTATTTGTGTGTACTTCTTTGTGTGTCCCAGGGCCCCTTCATTGGGGGCCCCCTCGGGCCTTCCGGGCCACTCGTTGGGCCCTCTCGCAGATCATGCGGGGGCACGCTGCGCGCCCCGAGGAGTCTGAGCAGCCTTCCGGTCCAGGCTCTGACGCCCAGTCCTCGGGATGGATGGCGGAGGGCTCAGGGAACCGGGGGCCGCTCCACGTCGTGCCTCGGAACACGGTGGCCGATGTCTTATGTGTGTTCATGATGTTCCAACCTATTCTTAGCTTTGCCCACCAGAAAGAATTTCGAGCGCACACCAAAACTCGAGGGCTTTCCCGTGTCGAGCCCTGGGAGACATTGGTTCGACACTCTTTCGACACGTTTCTGGAAGCTCGAAATTATTTCTGGGTTACGGTCCTTAAATAAGATGGAAGCAGCATAAATGTATGCACCATAATCTACATATCTATATATATATGTGTGTGTTGACAGAGAGAGTCACACGTTCTAGAGTATGAACGTACACATGCATGTACGCATGTTGACGCAATCCCAAACACCGTGCCTGCAGTTCTTGAAGCTTCGCGTATCCCCACCAGCCCATCCAGACACGATCGGAGGCGTCCTCGAGGCTTCGCGTGGATTGCGAAGTAACCCAAGTATCATTTGAAGAAGGGTCGACTCAATCGGGGGTTGGGTGGGTGACTGCGTGAGCACCGTGGCCGTTTGGGCTCGAGTCTTGTGCAATTCAGGCTAGAGGTTGTCGGAGGCTATCTTGAGCCATGCTCAGCTATCTTGGGCCATCTTGATGGTGTCTTGAGGCCTCTTGGAGGTCTGTCGGAGGCTATCTTGTGCCATGTTCGACCTCCTGGGACTAGCTTGGGGCTAGGAGGAGGAAGAGGAAGCGAGGAGGAAACAGAAAGAAGGAGGACGAGGAGGAGGGGGAAGAAGAGGAGACGAGGAATACGGCACGAGGAAGATGAGGAGAAGGAGGAGGAGGGAGGAGGCAGGGAAGGAGGAGGGAAGGAACGGACCAAGACAAGGATGATAAGAAGTCGGGCTTTGGAGACTTGTTGTTGAAACAGGGTCTTGAAGGACGAGCAAGGCCATCTTACTGGGCTCTGTTGGAGTCCCGTGGGATCTCACTGGGCATTCTCGGGCCCCTCTTGGGACTCTTTGCGGGGGTCTTGGGGGCCTTTTGGCGCTCATTGGAGAGTCAAAAGAAACGGGTGTATCAATTCTGGTCTTCCCCTCGGAGGCTCAAACATGGCGGTTTGGGGCCCTGTGTGTGCCGCTGTTTGGCGTTCTTAGGGCCTTCTTGGGCCCTTCTTAGGCCTCTCATGGGCCGTCTTGGGGCCATTTGGGGGCCTCAGAAACCAATTAGAAGCGAACAAGCAAGCAGGCACAACACATTGATGTTATTCGAGATTCGGAGTCATTTTGGCCTCTTGGGGGAGGTCCTCGGAGGGCTCGGCGGGCACTGGAAACAGTCTTCGGGCCATCGTGATGCTCCTTAGATGTGCGTCGGAGGCTATCTTGAGCCATCTTGAGGTATCTTGACC